TCTGCGAACCGTCAGGCACCGATGGAGCCTCATCAGCTTGGGACCGCATAGAGTCACACGAGAACAGGTCCAAGGCGGACGCGCACAGCATAAGTGAACCTTAGCCAGTCGCTCCCCTATCATGATGCACTAGACTGTGCAGTCGGCCAATACCCCTGTTCCACGTAGATGGGAGCTTGAAATAGCTAAAATCGCTATTGCATACTGTCCGCAGGGTCAGGGGCACGTTTCTGCGGATGACGAGAGTGAGCAAACAACTGCCTGGGCTCCTAGGAAACAAATGCCATTGCACGGACGCGGGTGGGTGGGGAATGAAATTGAAGCTATCGCCACATTAATAGTAGAGCTTGCGCTAAGGACACGACGGACGGGGCGGCCCGCTTGGAATGGAGACATCCACTCATAACCTTAACTTAGTTACCGCATATCTTGTGCCATGGTACCGAAAGTCGCCAGTGAAAACAAATCCATCCAACGGCAACCCGCTTGTGGTAGATCTTAGATTAAAGATCACGGCTAAAACGGGAATGAATGTGTTTTACAAGACCGCTATGATTCCTAAACTGCCCCCCTTGTACATAAACTAAGGTTTCTTTAAGAACCATGATGAAGAATGTTTGACCTCCACAATGATGATCTTACGCGATCGGGTGGGGAAGGATGGACAAGGGGGTATGCGATCATGTCGATGATGACAGTGTCCAAATGGTTCGAGCGGATGTTTCAGGGGACTCAGAAACGTCGCCAAAGCAAGATACGGTAGGCCAGCACTGCTAGTGCTGCAAGGTATGGCGGAAGATATAGTATTAGAGACTGCGACGGGCTCCAGTAACTAGCAGGGCATGCTGAAGGAATTATAGCAACGTTGATGGTCCGATATGGCGTATCTCAAGAATGGAGAATCATGAATAGAACTCTTCTGACGGTTGGCTTTCACGTCGCCTCTATATTGGCCGATTGCGCCGAAGTGTGTTTTCGCTACTCAACCGTCCGCTCAAACCCTACTTGGTGTGGATTGGAACGATGCTTGGTTGGTCTATCATGAGGGCAACCAAAGGCTCGGCCGGGTCCAATCACAGATACATTTCCCCAGAGAGTTGGGGGGTCAAAGACACTTCCCAGCAGCATAATCATTTCCTCTGTCGGGTCTCGGCCTACAGTGTGCTGTCATACAAGATAGCAGAGTCGATGTACGCGGAATTTGACTACAACAATCAACCAGATTTTATACATGAGAGTTCAATCAGGCGAAAATGGATATCATTGGGTGAACTCGGGGGGCCCTGTAGAAGACAGTTGATTTCTACGCACTGTGAGCCACGAGCCAGATGACGATAATGTCTCCAGAGCACGCTAGTATTGGCCAATTGTGAGCAATCAAGTGATATTAACCCAATGAATGAAGGGCAGTGTACTTTTGAGACAAGTCTAGCTCAGAATGTGAATATTTGAACTGAACAGCGTTGTTGTTGTGTAAGATGTCGGATCAAGCACCACCCGGCCGCCCGTACCCAGATTGACGCGAGTTTGGTATTCGATTCTGACCTTTCACTTATTGTTCGACACCCCTTTCGTCGAAGTCCAGGGGATTTACGCCAACCATGTGCACGAGTAATCCTCCGTGCGTCAAACCAGGTCACGATGCATCTTACCCTGTCATCTCTCTCACCCAGGGAAGGCCGTGAGGGGCGGTCCCCAGCAGCTGGGTAAGAGACGTGCATGAAAGCTTGACCTCGATCCTACAGCCACAATCCACGATGTGCGAGACAATGCCGTGAAGCCACCCGCAAAACGCCCGGCAAATCTATCTCAGGACCACTTCTCATTGGCAGAAAGTCCGCGCTGGCGATATTCGATTTGTGTCCCCACCACCTCGATTCTCTCGGTGTACAGCTGGCAATGAGCGGAACGGCGGAACATGACGAGAAGCAGCCTGAGCCATGCCATCGCAACGCTACTTCTATGACCCAGGATAGAAACTTGTGCCGACATGATATGCAAGCTCTGCAGCTCACTGGTCGCTTGCATTTCTTGCTTTCACTAGAAAGGTAAGATTTCCAGGCATACAAGAGGAAGAATACATGTGTTTGCCGTGAGGTTGTCCTAACCTAGCGCGGATAGCATTAGCTTGTCATGGCTTGCAGTTTATTGCGGTGCGATGTGTAGCTTCGGAGGCTCTTTCTTGCTTCGGGAGCAGCTGGGGCAGCTTCGAGAGGCGTGCAGCTGTTAGGGCGTGCAAAGTGTTCCGGCGTGCCCTCTTCAGAGATTTTGAGCCATACGTATGGAGGCCCCTGGTGTGGGCGGACTGGTTCGCGATTTTTTTTATTTTATTTTATTTTAAAAAAGGCGGCCAGTGGTCAATTGCGATGGCCTGCAGGTGCGCACGCTGCTCCAATTCCACCTTACGTCCTTTTGCTGGCGGGTCCACGGGGTGTGGGTGCGAGGGGTGGTCGCGGAGGGGCGGAGTCGAACAACAGGGGAAATCGAGTGACGGAGGGGGAAAAAAAGAGCTGCTGCAAGCAATTCACCTCGTGCCGAAACACACGACAGCTTACCTGCGCTTGTTGAGGTCGCTGCCTTTCTGAACCTTTTTCCTCCCATCGAACAGTTTCAATGGGCACACATAAAGGATACTCCAAATAGCAGCCATCTCGCTCGAGAACCACTTTATTCTCTAAATCTAGCTATCCTACTCTTCCACTCGTGTCGGATTCTCACATCCCGCCAGCCCAACGTCAGCGCCCACCACCCCCTCTAGCATTTCCTGCTCTTTCTGTACCCTCACCTGTGGTGTTCCCTTCGTCCAAGAAATATTAAGTCCTTTCCACTTCAATCAATCCACTCCCATATTGTCAATCTAGGTTAGCAGAGGTGGGATCGTGTATAGCAATCATGTCGAGCAACTGGTCGACGGAAGCCCAGAACGGGTCGATGAACAGGTATGTGACCATGGCACTTCAACAATGCACAATGGTGGTATGGCGCTTCCCTCCTTAGGGGCATACAACCGGTAGCACTTCAAGCCATGAGGAAGCATGACTGACGTCGGCACAATAGTGGCTTCGGAGGGTCTGGTCGGCAACAAGGGTCCGAGGGACTCGAAGGACTCGGGGCATTCGAGAGAGATCGAGCAGCCTTCCTCCAGTTCGACAATGTCGTGTTCGCTGCTGCAACGGCATCGACGACAGCTGCCCAAAGAGTAGAGCAGCGGAGAGCCGGCCTGCAAGCACAGCTTGAAGCGCTGGCAGAGGCACTTGCTAGCATTCCCGCCGAACAAGACCAAGCTCATGACGCCGAGAGGCAGAAGAAGCCCGACCAGCTTGTCTTTGCAACTGGGACGCAGTTTGCTGAGCACAAGCCGTAACGGAACAATTCTACTCATTCTATCGCGTGTCTCCTCCCGACACCCTCACTTTCTGCCTGGCGCTGCTACGTCAATTGCCTGCCGGTCCAGGCCCGGACGGAGCTCGGAGCTTATAATCGCCGATATCGCGCGGTCACGTGTTCTTGAGGCTTTCGAAGTAAGGGGTGGCGTTTGTGAGACGAGCCAGAGGATAAAACGATATGGAGCAGGTATGATCGGATTTGAAGGATTTCTTGATCGATGAGGCATGATTCTCGTTCGTTTTCGACCTATATCTCAGTTGAAATTCGCTTGTTCTGTCTCCTTTGCATGTGGCCAGAAGTGGTCAAGGTTTGCAGAGTTTGTCGCGCTGCATTTTGCTGGATGCGGTGGCTTTTGATTTTTTTTCCTTTTGTTATGATCAAAATAATGTGAAAAGGGACTTACTTAGCTGGGATTTGGGATCGCGGATCATTCGAGCCTTCGGCAGGAGAGATATAGATGGAAACAGCATGACATTTCTTTCTTGTCTTCGTGCAAACGGCGATGCTTGACCATTTGACGCTGTCGAGGAACATATAGTTGAAAGAAAGGTCATCAGATAAAGGATTTGAGATGACGGTGCTCCAGTAGCGACAAGTGTCATCGAGGATGGAAAAGGATTTGAAGATCACAAATCCATCTGTCCGATCTCTGTGCGCTCATTAAAGTCCGAAAAGGAGTAAGATAAGTTCGGAAGCAGAGGCATCTCGCTTCAATAACATGTCCCTGTCGCTGGAGCCTGTAATCGTTCGAAAGGGGGTGAAGAGCAATTTTCTTACAGCGCCCGTGAAATATTTCTGAGTTTGATGTTGGATGAGCGAAGAAGAAAAGTATAAAAGTGTGTCGTCTGAGCGTGGTGTTTTAGGCGAGGCTCCACGTCAACAAGATCCCGAAGAGGGGTTCCCAACCAATCATCATCACTCTTCGAAAGCACAAGCAACTTAGGTTCTCGCCCCAACAGGCGGCTTTGCACGTGAATCCCGATGGCGAAAAGAATGGTCCTTATTTTCTGATATTCTGATATCTTAAATTTCTGTAAGACATAAGGCGTTTATTCGGTTTCTTCGAAAGATGATTATTACAAAGATCGGCCTATCTATAGCCAGAAACATGGTACGTAGTGGGATTAGGGGCAAATACCCGAGCTCCTTTTATATCCTTTGAAAGCCCTTCAGGCACCGATGAAAGGCGTGTAAGGACAGGGATCATCAAGTCATCCTATCGCTTCGAGGCCAATCTATCTAAGGCATTGCGGGACAGGGGACCAATCGTATTTTCTACACGACGACCACTTTAGCTTGAGCCCGTATTATTATCCCAAAACTGTGCAGTCTGACTCACAACACATCCCAGGAGTAGGCCTGGTCCCTCGATATCAAACCAATTTTTTTCCATTTCCATCTCACGAAGCAATCAATAGCCCCCTAGATTCAGTATTACTCATGGTTTTTGCTTTTGCGCTGTGAGTCAAATTGATATGATACGATTGAAGTTAGCTGGTTCTCTCAGTCGACCGAAAGCTGGGATTTGACTGATACAACTCGGCACTACGGTCTTCTCAATAGAGCATTTATAGACACCTATCGTATAAACAGTAAACAGTGTACAATTGCATCTAGATTGACGCGTATAACATGTTTTGATCGGGGATGTACTCCACGTTCCTGTCAGGCTTGTGATACATCAAATAGCGATGCTTGCGCTCGGCGGCGTAAGAATCCATATCGATATCCTCGTCATCTGTACCGATCTGAGGTGCCTTGAAAGGTTCGCGCTCCGCGTCTTCCGCCTCCTCACTTTCTTCCTCGTCTTCGTCGTGCTCTTTTCCTTCCTCCCTCTTCTCCCTTCCCCCCTCCTCCTCAATCTTTTCATCTTCGGAACTGTCAGTATATTCCTTCTCAGAGCTCTCATTGAGGACATACTTCATGGCAGCCTCAACTTCGTCATCGAATCCTTCCCAAGACTTGTCCTCGCTATGGCCCTTGCCGTCCTCCGCGTGACTGGATCGGCCAAAGAGCTTTGGCTTCTTCGCTGCCTGCTCTTCCTCGTCCTCGCTACTCTCTGAAAAGAGAGAATCTCTGGTCCGTTTTCGGGTCTTCGCGTGACCGCCAGAGTGCGACATGGTACCTTCTTCCACGTGCAATGTTGGAGACACTTCTGCCACGGCATCGTTTGACGAAGGGTATGTCGTCTGGATGAATTCTTCAGAGCCAGAGCATGTGGGTGAAGATGGGGCTATTTCAGAAGCTCCTTGCCCTTTTGGCTGAATAATTGTGGGTGATACGGTCATCGACTGCATATGCCCTGGCTTGGTGCTGTCTTCCTGGATGGCTTTTCGCTCGGTCGTTTCGTCCTTGTGGTGAGCATTCTGGTGGTCTCGAACAGGTTCATGCCCTACTGGCCTCGAGAGCTCAGTGTCTTCAGCATTGCTGTGATGTTTCTCAGGCGCCTCATCTTGTGGCTTCTCGAATGGTCTTTCGTCAATGCTCTCACTTCCACCTCCAACTCCCAATGGCTCGCCGCCGTTATTGCCGTTGTCACTTCCGTTATCGTTATTGTCATCGTCTCCGTCGCCCCCTTCAGCAGCATCCTCGACGCTGTTGTATGGGCCACCGAAGCTCATCTTGGCCGACAATCGAAGCATATCACTCAGACCTCGAACCCACTCTGCCGAGGCTTTAGCCCAACGATTGTTATTGTCCTCGGCTGTCATGTCGAGATCAAGCTCGGCATCAGCTGGGTTGTTTTCAATCTGAGCCGGATCGAACAGCCCAATTCTTGAGTGCTTGAAGACATCTCGGATGCCTAGTAAAAGTATCGCAGCAGCCCTCTCCGCATCCGATACGTTAACCTGCCCTGGAGCATTTGCACCGGCGTTATTCACCTGGCGCAAAGCGAGATGTTGGGTGTTGAAAGGGGGTGTGATCTTTTCTTCTACAGATGGATCCTTGTCCATCTCAAGAGCAAGGTAGCCGATGGCGAGGAGGCAGAAGAGGAAGCTATCCTGACCGTACTGTTCGATGTTCGCGTCTCCGCTGTTATGGCACCAGACGCCGTTGTCAGTCTCGCTCACGTTGTAACGCACTACAAGCTCAGGTGTTGGTATGAACACCGGCTGATCGTCAAGTATGCCATCGATCGTGAGCGCATTTACGTACGCCTTGACAGGCGCCTCGAATTCTCTAGCATGCCACTTGGTCAAAACATGCCAGTACACCTTTTGTGTGATGTCTTCCTCGTCTCTCGCGAAACCTCCGTTATCATCTTGCTTAATCTTTCCGCCTTTCTTGTAGTGGAGAAAAGACCAAACTGTCGCGGACTCTGCCTGTTCGCCCTCTGCAGGCTTCGTGTTATAGGTATGAAATAGCGGAATGATCATATTTGTGTAGAACAAATTGCCACCGTAATCCGGGCGATGAGTGTTGCTGAAGAGGCCAGAGACTGCAAACTGCTCCAGACGATCGGTGGTGTTCATGTCGTGCACCATTGCATCAACTGTGACCAGCTTTTTGAATGGGAGTATATACCATTGAGGCAATGGCGGCCAGAACAGATACGGCCAAGACTCCACCTGCTCGTCGAATTCCAAGTCTTCTTTGCGCATCAGATGCCCTGCTGCTCCGCGGAGAGCGTTGATAATCTGCCTCCCTCTTTTCTGCCCTGTGCCGTTCTCGACGAGCGGCTCGTGGGACCGTAAGTGGTCGGGCGAATCTCTGAGCACCGAGTTCGGTGAAACAGCAGCCGCATTGCCTCTGGGTCTATTTCTGAGTTTAGGTGGCATTATTGCGACTTCGATGCGGGGATTATTCGGAATAGCTCAACTATGAAAGCTGTCACGGGCGAGGAAACCTGTGGCTGGCGAAAGGGGTTGGCCATTCGGTTCATATGAGACTACCAAATCTTTGTTCCGTAAACCTGGTTTTAAGGGGAAAACCTCGATCCCGGAAGCGGCAAGTCCACCGCGTATCGAGGTGTTTTCTTTGTTGGCGTGTTGTTGGTGTGGTGACTGTTCTTTGTTCGCTTACACGGGGCACGGGTCTGATTCGCGACAAAGAAAGTTAATGTGCCATTTCGCAGGACGGCTACGGTTGCGGAAACATCGTGACACTTGCTCTCGCTCATGAATGACTAAATTGTATGAAAAGACATGTGATCGTGTAGTGATTTATTTGGGCAGCTATCTGGTCTAATCAAATCGGCTTCTATAGGAGTATGGGTTATATAGAGCTCTTTTGATGCGCCTTTCCATTCAGGTGTTACCAGAGCTAGTTCTATTAGCTACCCGTGTAGCTGTGGACTCATCTTGTATCATTAGTTGAATAGCCAAGGAAACTCTTTTAAGAATGGGGTGATGCATTGATTGGTATCTTCAAACGGCACGACGCTATTCCCAAACATAAAGGTCCGAAAGTGGCTTGCTCGGCTGCTTATGCTAGATTTGGCCCCAATGACAAACGAGATAAGCCGAGAAGTTTAACTTTTGCATCTCCATGATAAGCCATTGTACATTAGCATCAGTGGGCCTTGAAATTGGGCTATCTAATCGAAACCCCGTCAATACAATAGGGCGTGAGAAGATTAGAAGTTTAGCCCGCGGGGCTATCGTAGATCAGAACGGGTATGCTCGGAGTTGTCGAATATCCAGCATGCTGTGCGAGAGGGCCGTATAAAAGGGTCCACGGCGCCATCGGATGGTAGCTTGTTATCTTCGAGATTTAAGAAAACCGTTTCTATCCCTTCATCCTCACCATGGCCGGCCCTGAAATAGTTTACACGGACAAGGCTCCGAAGCCCCTTCCTCAATTCTCCCAAGCGGTCAAATACAATGGCATGGTCTACTGCTCCGGCAATATTGGTCTTGACCCTGAGACCTTCAAGCCAGTCGAGGGAACAGTCACTGACAGAACCGTGAGTTGTTAATTGCTTACTTGATATAATGGCAAGCTAATTGCTTGTGGCAGCGACAAGCACTAAAGAATCTGGGGGCCGTTCTCGAAGAGGCAGGGAGCAGCTTCAGTAATGTCGTCAAGATGAACATCTTCATTACGACTATGGACAACTTTGCAGCCATGAACCAGGCCTATGATGAGTTCTTCACGGGGGACTACAAGCCGGTGAGAGCCGCTCTACGTCGGCTACCTCGAAACCTTTCCCGTATACTAACGCCCAAATCACCATGACAGTGTCGAACATGCGTGGCGGTGTACCAACTGCCTTTTGGAACGGACGTGGAGATTGAATGTACTGCATTCCTGAACTAGATGCAATATTTATCAACTTGTCTTCTATATAGACCATGTCTTAGACTACATGCACTGAAATCAACTTTGATCTGGCAATAATCTGGAGCAAAACTGGAGAGCTGTGGAGCCTTAGAGCATCGAAATGCGATTCCCCCGCAGTGAGCGACACGCTAATTGTAATAAGCAACAGTGGGCCAATAAGCTAGGCCTTGGTGATTGACGTAATACAAGGGCTTGCTGAAAAAAGCAAATCGTAAAATTCGGCCAGCAAGCCGACGCCTTCATGTAGGCCCTCGTTGTCCAGTATCCGTCCTCTCAATATCACAACCAGACATGCAATGACGCCAACTACTCAATTGCGCGTTCTGCGCAAGCCCTTCCTTCAGTCTCGTCATGCTTCTGTTCTCTTATGTCAGCTGTCCGCAGGCTGGCCCTCAACACTCTCCACAGTTGAGGTGAGACCGAGGAATCGTCAACCTCGGCATGGACTTGTCCTTTTCCAGCTGCGCTTTGCCTCAACAACAGCAGAGTCCAAGACTATCGCGAGCTCCGGCAAATCTCCCAGCTCCTCTTCTCTGGTAACGACTGCTCCTATCATCTCCCGGAGCGCCGCCAACCCGCCCGACACGACCCGTCCTCCACCACTCGAGCTGCCCATTCGCGTGGCCAACCAGTCGACCGTTGCGTACCTCTTCGCTATTGGCAAGGCATACCTCACATTCTACAAGACCGGTCTCAAGAATATATACACAAACACACGATTACTATACAATCTCACCTCCGGCTCAGGCCTCCCATCCGACTCACCCGTCTCGCCCTCAGACACATCCTCCGTGGCCTCCCCACCAGTGGTGCACCCCGTCGGCCTCGTCCGCTCGACAGAGCTCCTCCGCGCGCGCTGGATCCACGACATCCGGCGCGTACCGGTCTTCCTCATCCTGCTCTTCATCTGCGGGGAACTCACCCCCTTCGTCGTGCTCGCCCTGCCCGGCACCGTGCCCTTCACGTGCCGCATCCCGCGCCAGGTCGACAAGCTGCAGCGGCAGGCGGAGGAGCGGCGGCGCGGCGCCTTCACCGACCTCCACGCGCTGCGGGCCGAGCTGCGCGCCCGCACGGGGTCCGAGGAGCTCAGCGCCACGCAGGTCGCCCGGCACATCACGCGCGGCCTGGGCCTCGTGTCGAACCTCTGGGAGCGCGTGGGCATCCCGGCGCCGCTGGCGGCGGCGAAGGCGCGCAGGCGGCTGGCGTTCCTGGCGCAGGACGACGCACTGCTGCTGCAGAGCGGCGGGGTGCCGGCCCTCGACACGCCCGAGATGAGACTGGCGTGCGTGGATCGCGGGATCGACGTGCTGGGCAAGTCGGACGACGAGCTGGCGGGCCTGCTGACGCGCTGGCTGGGGCTGACGAGGGCGAGAGGCACAGCGGACCTTGACGGGGAGCGTCTACGAAGAGTCCAGGTGCTTTTAACTACGCCGCTGGAGGAGTGGCCGGAGGATGGCGACTTTGAGCTGCCTGAAAAGGGGTTGGTTTAAATTCTGCCCTATAGGGGGGAGTTATATCCAGTGTATACGGGCCGGTGGAAGGTGTCATCAGTGCTGTGAAAATCATCTCACCTTTGCATAGACTCGGCTCACTTAAAATGAAGCATCAAGCATACGAATGTAGATTACACCTGTATTTTATAAGGCGCGGAGGATGGACGGCAAAACAACAACATGTACTGTAGCAGCTCATTGAGCCCATCTCGACCACTAGAAAGCCAACAAAAGGTTTTACCAGACCGTCTTCACTGTTGATTCAAGTGATTGTCCATAGGTTGCGAGTCTTCGAGCTCCCTAGGCGACCACTGCTAGTATAGAGTAGGTTGACCCGACAATTCACTTTGGGTATGCGAAGTACTTTGAAAAAAATTGTATTGTAGCTTGAAACTACATTTTACAGACACAAGCAAGCCATTTTAAACTCGAAAGCAACGGGCTTCCTTCCTTTCTCCCACGGACCTTCTATACTCGCCGAACGCGCTCCTCTAGCCACATATATGTACAAGTAACTCTCCTTTGAACATGTCATACCGTCATTCTATGGGAAGTAGCGGGGATCTAAAGCATCAAGTCTGATCACTGTCTGAAACGGGCAAGCTGCTGCATGATAGTCGCGACTTGGGCAGATGGATCCGCACCGCCTGGCATAGCACCGTTTCCGGTGGGTGGCATGGAGCCTCCTGGAGGCTGAGCATAACCAGCGGCGGCATATTCATGGCCTGTCGGCATCTGAGAAGGTGGTCCGTTGGTGCCGGCCGCATTCTTGAGGTTGCCGAGCAGGGCGTTGATGTCGATCTGGGAATTGGCATTGACAGCAGCTGGGTTTGCCATTGCTTGAGGGTGCGCAGATGGCGGCATGGCTGGAGCATGCATGGGAGGCTGTCCCGGCTGCAAAGAGGCAAGAATTTGTTGCAGAGCGTTGTTATCTATCTGACCAACAAGACTTGCAAGGTCTGGTTGTGCTGGAGGACCTGAGGCGGGTGGCCGTTGAGGTAGGTGGTTTGGATAGCCCTGCGGAGCTGCCGCAGCATATGGCTGGCCGTAGGGGTTTGGAGGATAGGCCGGAGGTTGCTGTGGTGCTGCCTGGCTCTTTGTTCTGACGACCAGCTCTGCTGCAATAGTCGGCTCAAGATCTTGGTACTGATCATACCTGACGTTGTTGATGCCGGCAGAGCGATCAAATACCTGAAGCGGAATCCTCCCAATACTTTGGGCTCGCACATCAAGTTCGATGACAGCATGGACACCTTCGAGAACCTGCCTCTGAATGACAGCCTCTCTTGGAGCTCTAGCGGGGTTTAGGAACATAACATTTGTCTTTAGCCCGCGATCATAGAATGCACGTTGAACCCAGTCAACGAAATCTCGCTGGACTTCTTGCATAAGCAACAACTGGACGTCAGGGATTTCTTCACCATAACGTCGGGGAATATCCAGTCGTTCAGTATCTTGGCGTGGTCGACCATATGGACTCGGGGATCGACGGCGATAGCTCGCATCTGGTCCAGGTCGGCCAAAACGTTCAGGCGACCTCGACCGGCCACGGCCATGATCATAGGATTCGTATGTTCGAGCATTGGCATTCCTACCATAAGTTTCATCTCTCCCACGACGATCTTCTCGACGGGGCGATGGCGAACGACCGGGGCGATAGTCATCTCTTGACCTGCGGCCCTGATCTCTGCCATCGTAGCGGTCAGTCCCACGATTCCTATCACGAACCCCTTTGCGGTCAGGAGAATTATCTCGATCCTTTTTCTTTTGTACGCGTGAGTACTCCAGGTCTGGTCCCTCGTCAGCAAATGGAATACATAAAGCTTTATCATTTTACTTACGGATCTTACGACCTCGAATCTCAGCACCCTGAAGATTCTCCATGGCGCCTTGCGCGTCTGTCACATTGTGATACTGCACAAAGCCATAAGCAGACTTCAAAGAGATCTGGGCAAGACGACCGTATTTATGAAATAGGTCAAAGACATCCTTTTTGGATACTCGTTCTTGAGAAAGATTTCCTTCAATATAGCATTAGCAAAAGCTGAAAATTATTTCGACATGACACTTACCAATGAAGATACGAGAACCTTCAGGGAAACGTTCCCATTTGGCCTCGGACATATATCGTCGTTCGTCAGCTAGAAACGCGTCATAGGCTTGTTGCACGTTATAAGAATTGTCGAAACTGGGGGTCGCAGAGGGAGGAGCTCCCGCTGCACCTGGATAAGGTTGAGCATTGTTTGGATAAGATGCAAATGGAGGGGCAGCATTGTATCCGGATGCCGGGGGAGGCGGTAGGCTTTGTGCCGCTGATGCCGTACCTGGAGCAGCGGCGAGAGGATACGGCGAGGGCTGGGAGATGGGACCTGTAGCTTGTACGGGGGCCCCAGTGGGAGAGAAAGGGGGCACGTTGGGCCCAGGCTGCAGGTTATCGGACGGGATGGCGGCAGGATTGGAAGGCTCTTGCGTCAATGCGGGTCTGGGAGGAAGTAAAGTCTGATTTACGCTCATGGGGGACGACTGAGGGTCTTGGTCTTGGAGAGAGCTTGGGGCTTCGGCGGGTGGTTGAGTGGACGAGGCTGCGGCGCTGGCGGCGGTGATATCATCGACCAGCTTCTGGATGTCAACTGCAGTGGCATCATCTTCCATTTCAGCATCTTCGTTCTTGGGCTCAGAGTCGTTAGGCTTAGCTTCGACGTCTTCCGGGCTGGAAGCCTCAGCTTGGGCGTGAATGGGTTGACTTGGCGCAGAGTCCAGGGTCGCATCTGGCAGCGGGGCTGAGGCAGGCTGAGGCAGGCTGGCGGTGTCGGCGGGGTTGGCAGGGGCAGGATTTGCGAGAGCGCCGTCTCCATGGGACAAGCTCGAGGATGAGATATCACCAGTAATTGGCGCCACGGAAGATTGATGCGGTAAAGTATCAGATGCCGAGGAACTATTCATGGATTCTCCTGCCTTTGATACATCTTGTTCCGCTTCCTCAACCTCTCCTTGCGCAGGAGAATCAAAGATTCTCGCGTAGTCATCATTGTCAGCGCCTGGAGCGTTGTTTTGCGCCTCTCCATTCGCGTCCTCGCCGTAAGCATCGAAGCTGTCGTCATCGGCGATGCTTTCGTCTAGAGACTGATCCTCATCGCCATCGGGAGCAGTCCCGGCGATTGTGGGGTCTACCATCTCGGCAAGCGCTGGCTCGGCTGGACTCGGCTCGGCAGCCATGTTGGAAGTGTGCCCTCTGGATGTGAGCTGGTCGATGGAGTTTACGTCTAGCTGCTCTGCTTGGTCTTGAATCGAGGGAAGGGCCAAAGGTGAAGTGTTGTAATGAGGTCTGGGTGAGACGGGGCTGATGTCGGCAGTAGCCACGACTTCGGGAGATGGCTCTGTCATCAAGTGCGGGGGTGGAAGCAGGGCGAGAGAGGCAATTATAGAGAAAGATGGACTTGCGACAGTCACTAGAAGGCTGGAGAGAAGGGCTACAGGCTGGGAAACGGTGTGCGACGCATTCAGAACGCGGGTGAAAGAAGCACGTTGTCGTAGAAGCAGGCGGGATTCAGGCGCATTGAGAGGCAGCCTTGTCTCGGAAAGGTGCGCAACGACTGGGGGGGAAGGCACAAGAAAGGCAACCGGCTGTTGGACTGTGAGCGTGGGTTTGGGTTTGGGCGCGGAGAGTGGCGGTCAATGATAACAAGGCATTGTATGTCGCTCTTCACAGTCGTCCTGAGATATGATGTTTGGGCGGTCAGGCTGCGGGTTGTTTGACAATTGGCGGCCGAGGATCAGAATATGAGTGGGAGCGCACAGGCAAGGCGGGTTGTAAGGCAGAAGAAGAAGAAGCAGAGCAGAGCTGCAAAGACGGTAAATGTCAGTGGTGGCCAGCAACAGTCAACCAAGCTAAGCTAAGCCAAGCTAAGGCGGGCGCACGAAATTTTGGGCTGCTGTGAGTGGTTAATCAACTTGCCTCTCTCTTATTGGCTGGCAACCCCAGAGCTGGCCTGCCCATTCGAGCTCTTCCGACCCCTTCATCTGGTCATAGCTTCCATCCCAAGTTCGCACCGACTTCACTGACAAGTCTTGTTTATCGCCCTTCAACATTTGCATGATCTGAAGGGGGTAAATCAGATCATGAGATGGAACATCGACGCACTCACCGTACTTCTGAGACTTAGGCCGAGATGTTGGACTCCGGAAGCTCGATTCGAGAGCAATTAAGACCATTGGTGAACCAGTTATCAACTTGATTGTACATCAATCTCGGTCTTTCATTCTTGTCGGCGCGACTTGAGAATCTCTACTCATCATGCTGAGACCAATTTGGTCACGGGCATCAGCTTGTTCCTGCCGATCTAGCCTTGTTCTTGTATCTCGCCCATTCTCGTCGATCTCCTACAGATCCGCCTCTAGATATGAGGCATACGATGCATCTTTCGACCCCGACGAACTGGCTGAAGCTAGACAGTGGCAGCGGTCATTCCAAGAGAGCAGTATACCGAAAGGAAACATAACGTTTGCCCGCTCGAGCGGGCCGGGCGGTCAGCACGTTAACAAGTTAGCCAACGCAGCCTTTTGTCAACCCTTTTAAAGGGGAAGATTGACCGTATTACAGGACTGAGACCAAAGCAATCACGGCTTGGCCTGTGAAAGAACTTCTAGGCCTGTTGCCGAAGCTTATGCATGCGAGCGTCCGGTCGTCTCGGTATTACTCGAGGGCCAACGATTCCATCTCCATCCAGGCACAGACTCAACGAAGCAGAACTGCAAACGCGGACGAGAATCGACAGAAGCTATTTGAGGAGTTGCAGAGGATCTACAAGGACGCAGTGCCTGGAGAGTCGGATCCGGCCAAGAAGAAGAAATATGAAGCGCTGTAAGTCAAATGCAACCATTTGTTTGCTAGAGCTTCTATACTAATAGTACCTCTCAGTGAGAAAACGTTTCATTCAAACAGAGTGAGGGAAAAGAAGCATCAGAGCTCCAAAAAAGCCTCTCGCAAGGGTGGAAGTGGTGGTTACTGAAGCTTGTGAAGAAGGATCGTCGTATTTACAGATCGTCATAACTACGCAATATTGACAGACCCAAATGGTTGAAGAAAGCTTGAATGGTTATGATTGTCGGTCCGGTCTGGGTGGCAATTATCTACAACTGCCTACCTGCTCCTCATCTTTTCCCACGATGAGGTGTGTTATCATCTAATTTTGGATTGCCACAAAGCTGTCCAATGTCAGCAAAGACTACACTGATCATACGAGCCCATCTCCTTGTTCGAGTGATATGGTGTAACTCTTGGGAGTGGCACTTTAATTGGTTCTTTTGAAGGAGGGGCAGCTGAATTCCATTTTCGCGGCTGACAATGCAAGTCGCCCACCCACCTTCCACCCACAAGAACCCCTTCCCACACTCTGGACCCTGAAAGAGAGTTTCTTTTCTTGTGTCTAGAGAACATTGTTGAATCTGTATGAACTCTTGATAATCTGGCCTCACTGTTCCTGAATCGTTCCAAACAATTTATCAGATACAACAACCACCCACCTGTCTCAGTTGGACCAAATCCGATAAGCATCCTTATCGGCCCAAACCTCCAGGAGAAGGCCCTCTTCCTGCTTAGGCCAGTTTTGAGGCGACCTCCACTACCAACGCTTACTGTCATCGCCCAAACCTCCGATCAACTTTGTTCTCATCACGTCGCTCGTTATTACCCTTAAGAGAACACGCCAGATTTGTACGCTCAAACCAAGACAAGCATCGTCGACAAGCCTGAAAGACTCGATTTGTCGGACACCGCCATCAACATTAACTGCGGGGCAGGACTTACGAGGGTCGCTCACCCGCCTTTCACCACCGCCCTCCAACCATGGCCGCCACAGCACAGGTGGCCAGCGCCGATGGCCGTCCAAACCCCCAGATACAACCATGTAGATACAAGGTCGGCAAGACACTGGGTGCAGGCTCATACTCTGTTGTCAAAGAATGTGTACACATTGATACCGGGCGGTACTATGCTGCCAAGGTGATCAACAAAAGGCTGATGGCTGGGCGAGAACACATGGTAGGCCGCCACGCTCTCCTTATCTACATCATCGCCTGGATGGCTACAAATACAAGCTTCCACGGTGACAGGCTTGGCAATGTATAGTAAATGCTAACGCTGTGTGCCCGCCGGTTCTAGGTCCGGAATGAGATCGCCGTGCTCAAGAAGGTGTCCATGGGCCACCAGAACATCCTGACGCTGGTCGACTATTTCGAGACGATGAACAACCTGTACCTGGTTACGGACCTGGCACTGGGCGGAGAGCTGTTCGATCGCATCTGCCGCAAGGGCTCATACTACGAATCGGACGCAGCGGACCTGATCCGCGCGACGTTGTCGGCCGTGGCCTACCTGCACGACCACGGCATTGTACACCGCGACCTCAAGCCCGAGAACCTGCTGTTCCGCACGCCCGAGGACAACGCCGACCTGCTGATTGCCGACTTTGGCCTCTCGCGCATTATGGACGAGGAGCAGTTCCACGTGCTGACCACGACGTGCGGCACGCCGGGCTACATGGCGCCCGAGATCTTCAAGAAGACGGGCCACGGCAAGCCGGTCGACCTGTGGGCGCTCGGCGTCATCACGTACTTCCTGCTGTGCGGGTACACGCCCTTCGACCGGGACAGCGACTTTGAGGAGATGCAGGCCATCCTGAACGCCGACTACAGCTTCACGCCCGTCGAGTACTGGCGCGGCGTGTCCGACGCCGCAAAGGACTTCATCCGCCGCTGCCTGACCATCGACCCGGGCAAGCGCATGACCGCGCACGAGTCGCTGCAGCACCCCTTCGTCGCGGGCTACCGCGGCGGCGAGGCCGGCGACAAGGGCGCCAACCTGCTGCCCACGGTCAAGAAGAACTTCAACGCCCGCCGCACACTGCACGCCGCCATCGACACCGTCCGCGCCATCAACAAGCTGCGCGAGGGCCAGCTGGCGGGCCTCATGGACGGCGCGCGCAGCAAGGAGCCCGACCGCAGCCGCCAGGGCGGTAACAACAACAATGGCGGCGGCGGCGGCGGGGCCCCGACGACGCGAAAGGACGACAGTGGCGTCAGCATGGCCAGCAGCGGAGGCAGCGTGGGCCAGGACTCCGGATACGGCACCCAGGCCGGCAGCGGCGACATCACTATGGACGATGCGCCGCCGCTGGCCTCGTCTCAGGTGCCTGCGAGCCTCCGGCCAGGCAGCGCGGCGAACCGTGTGGTCGAGACGTCAAAGGGGCTGTGGACCGGCGCGGGCAGCCGAAGATAAATTGTGCCGCACCTGCAGGGCAGGTCGGGTATGAAATGTCAGGAGGAGCCAAGCCAAGAGCTCATCTACTAGGAACTGGGCTTTGAGAAAAGGCACAGGACGGAGAGGAAGTCGTTTGAATTTTCGCATATGTAGCATGTGAAAGTTGTGGCTTAGAGGGTCGGAGTGGCTCCATGATATCCATTGTTGAAATATTGATGCGGAGACGTCAAGGCAAGATGGGAACGAGTTTATAGCAATCTGGGGTTTTCTACTTTTTACATGACAAGAGCGTTACGATAGGACAATAAACGAAAAACTATGACGACCATGATACAAATCCCGAAATGAAAAGTGTTCGTTGAAAGACATAACAAGTGCGTCAGTATATCAAGACTTGAACCATCGCATATGTCTGTCTGTATTGATCAGTGAGGGTGGCAGGTTCTATTGTATATACACTGTCAGGTTCGGGGCATCTCAAGCAACGAATAATCTAACTTCATGAGTCCGTAAAATTCATAAACATGTCAACAATGGTTCCTATTTGACCATCTCCTATCAAGGGTGCAGCTGTCCTTAGTAAAATCGACTCATGTAAAACGGGCGGAGAAGAGTAACAAGTAGGCAAGCCTATTGAAAGATAAGAGCCGAAATAACAAGATCCAATTGTGACTAAGATCATGATATTTGATTCTGGTGCAGTCCTTGGGGTGTCGTCTATCCACTATGATACTCTCCTGATGCACCCCATCTAAAAGCGATACGATGTCCGTTCTTGCCTGAGGTATCAGATATCGACGGTTTAGTTTATTGGACAATTTGATATAAGAACATCCTTACCAACAGAAGTACATGTGGCCTTAGGCAAACCTACCACTGAACAACACCCCTGCCCCTTTTACTACACTTCCGCCAGAGTAATAATTGTTAATTCTAAGTAGGAATCGTGACTTTTCAGACAAGAGAGTTGTTACTTTTGTCAAGATCAGGGGGACTATAGAAATGAACAGAATCTTCGAAGCCCATCAAGTATTCCCAACCCTGAGTTTCTGGTATATTCACTTTGCTAAAATACCGTTTATTTACCCTAGCGGAGGTGTAGTTCATCTGAGTGACAGATTGCCCCATCCACTTTGATATGTGTTCCCCAGTCGGGAACACCCGCTTATACCGCCAGTAGGAGGAGCTCACCCGCCGTACTGGTAAGGACAGTGGCAAGGCGAATCACTGGTAAGGCTGAGACTCGGACGGTCGGGTCTGGCCTGGGGTTCTTTGTCCGCCAGTGCAACAGCTCTTTCAGACGAAAAGGGGGATGGGTGTGGCACAAGTTGGCAATTTTCAGATCGCCATAGGCCGGAAGCTATGCTATAGCACGGATCATCCGTAGAGGCCGAGATTGGCTGTCTCGGTGTCGGAACTCACTGCGAGCCGGCATGGGACGGTAATAAGCATAGCGAAGTACCTGTGAAGATGATGGTACGACATTGGTACCTCCACTGCGGTCAGGCTGTTGGATTCCACGACCCTCAAGCACCACGATAATCTAGGTCCAGATTCAAGCCCTTCTGGTGGGCCGGCCGAGGGTTCAGATTCAAGTGCTGGGTAATAAGCATAGTGCGATACAGCTAATAAGTCCCGAGACTACCATGAGGCGGATAGAAGGACGTTTCGAGCCCAAGAGATGAACATTGAATTACCCGAGGCCCCTTTCATGTGTAACAATCGAGCTGCGCTTCTGAGATACACATCTAGAGTCTCACGAACACTTGCTCTTCTCATGAGAACGGTTGCTAGAGTAGGGGATTCTCTTCTCACGACAGCACTACCACTTGATCATGAAGCCCCCGCGAATCCTCAATGGGGAAAATGTGAATGTGGAAGGACATGGGCTTTACTAGAGAGCCAGGGTCTTCGGATACCTCGGACTTGGACCACACTCAGCTGGTAGTCTGGCGGCCGTACTAAGCGCGATCAATCAGACGTTGACGGGCCACGCGATCTAAGGTTATTGGTACAGCAGGACGGTGGCCGATAGCTTGGCGGCGGGAGCCTCGGATGACAAACAGTCAAACGACCGGGACGGACCCAAACTCGGTCTCGCTCTGATTTGATTGATCGATTGAAACTGACTGGCTGACTGGCAGTGACTGGCTGACTTCCTCTCGGTTGCTGGCCATAACTCTAGCGGTCTAGGGCCACCTGCATTTCGAAATCACATGCGTTGCTGTGAAATGGGGATCAGTGCCCACTGATCACTGACCGCCCTGCACCTCGACGGTTACGGCTCTGCATGATTGCAGAAAAAGAAATCGGATCATCTGGGAGGTTAAGGTAAGTTCATTGGCAAAGCAAATGCCGCTGCAACATCGTTCGGCAGATAACCTTATTGTCTGAGGATTGCCGTGTGACACCTGACCCTGAGCGCCCACCACACTCCACACATAAACTGCCTGACTATCAGATGGATGTGTGCGCAGGTGTGTGGTCCAACAGCGTTTCAATGAACGTTAGAGACCTGCAGCCCTCTCTGCAGGCTGAATCACCAATGTACCTACCCATTCTCGCTCATCAACGTCGCTTCATTTAGCTCCAGGCCAAAGAGCCGGACGCTGATGACAAAGAGTTTAATACTAGGTAAGCGTTGGTTCTGGATAGGATAATCTCAATTAGACGGACCCCTAGGAACACCCTAACAAGAAAAGAAAAAGTTTTATTTCACCCAAAATTGAAGCGAACCGTGATGACCTTGCTGGAAAGGGTTTCTGGTCGCGTGTGGGCGCGAGACCCTTGCAAAGTGGAATCAGGCCGACTTGACCCGCATGCGCCAAGAGGTGTCCGCCCCCAGTAACCGTAACTTCCGTAACGTCCTCCACTGGAGACAACCTCGAATACCCAGTGAGCCAGCCTGTCGAGCCTCGAGGCTAGGTCACCAGTGAAAAGGAGGTAGAGAAGTCCTTGAGATTCGTTCTCATCTTTGTTGGCCTGCTGAAGTGCGTTCGTTACACGAGCAGGACATTAATAAAGAATAAGAAAATCGAAAGGTCTTACAAGACCTCGGTGCCTCGCATCTTTGAAACCCACTGCATCGGACTGACTGTACTACGTGGTACATGACCCGACCAAAACCAGCGCTGGGGTTTAATGGGCGACGCCCTTTTCCTTACTCTTTTTTTACCGCATGGCCGCCCCGGGTGCTTTGTTCGCCCCGCAAGCTTCCAGGCGTGGTCCGGCCTGCCACCAGAGAAATTAGAGCGTTCCCTCGTGGCGGGCACAATGTCGGCTTCGGCCTCGAAGCATCTCCGCTCCTAATAACGGTTTCTTCCAAATTGTGCTGTCCGTCTCTCATGTCATCCAGGGCAGGGCGCTAGTGAGCACGCCCGTGTGCCGTAGCCCTGTCAGCGCCGTGCCTCAGCTCGCTCATTGGGACAACGCCCGTTTCCTTAGCGAGAGGCCAGGCTCTTTAAGTTGCTGGGCCCTCGCTCTCCTGCTGGTACGCGTATTTCGTCTGCGCCCATCCTCAGACAGGAGAGCTGAGCAGACGCGTAACCTCGAATCGATCGACACCATTAGACGGCTCGAGGCAGCGGGACTGATGCACCTTGAACCCCGGGGGGATACACCAGGGGCCTTGTGAGGGACCATGCGGCGTTCATCAAACCGGGGGTAGTTAATTTTTAATTTTTTACGTGTGTCGCCACAGTTCCCGAGTTGCAACTGCTTGATGCGAATCGAGCTCAAAAGTCGGCGCCGGTGCACAACCGGCCCCGGCCGACCGGTGAACCCAGAGTTTTCTTCGCAGAACCCTTGGTGAAGGACCGAGGCATTCAAGATTTCTCGCTTGCGTGCGGACGATGTGAAATCCATAAATTTGAGAGACTGTAATAATATCCAAGTCATCATGTGCTGACAGATCATCCCATTGGTTCATTGATGACATCGCGCCAATTGCTGACAGTATCAACCTACCCGGCATCCTGGCGCGCTGAGAGTTTGCTATCTTGAGATTTCGCGTAAGGATTTGAAAATAGACAGGAGACGTTATATGAGAGCAGCCGATGAATTTCTTCTCAAACCCCTGATGTCGTGAGACCTTGGTGAAGCCGGACTCCGACTGGACGCCCAGTGTAATTTCAGAAGTATCCATCTGGGGGGCTTTTTGCTCTCCATAGCTACCGGTAGCCGACTAGGGGAGAAAAAAATTAGATGGCACCCGGGGGCCACAGAATGTAGAGGTACCTGGCCCCAGCATCTCGGCTCCGTCGCATCAGAGATCAATGAGCCACAAGCTTAGAAACGCTAACCTTAAGCGGTAGTACTGTTGACGGCAACACTGCATGTCTGACGACAACGACTCCTGCGTGCAGCTCTGACGAGTCGCTGCTGGCACCAGGTTGGCGCAACTTCAATGATCAGATTCGTCACCGTCGAATGACGAGTTCGTGGCTGTAGTGAGTCGAGGTAGAAAATAGGTACTGTCCACGCTTCTGGGAAGACGTAGATCAAGCAGAATAGGTGTTTGCAGGCGGCTGAGAGGATCGACGTGACAATTTTGGAAGTGTCTGTTTCCTCGTTGCAGGCCCGTCTATCACGACCTGTGAATGATTCGAGATAAGAGCAGGGGAGCAGCAGGTTGATACTGAGGACATGGCCTCTGTTCCAGAACATAAGAAGCTCGAGGAGTTGAGATTAAGCATCTTCCAAAGTCAACCAAGCAGCAGCCCGATTGCTGTGTCTCACCGAGAGCGTCATTCCTGAGGACGGCTCAGGACTCGATATGACAACATAGCAAATGCCCCCGTGGGGAAACACCCTACCCAGCACCCAGTTATACAATACAAGCGCGGGAAGACAGCGCTTTCTTGCCCATTCAGAATGCACATCGTGTTCCCGTGCAACATTTGGCTTGCGACGCACTCGATGGCTGAGGTCATCGATCGGATCCATCGATGTGACGGACGATTGATCGGTAGGTTTAGTGCAGATTGCTTGACTACAGTAACAATGCAGTTGCCTAGCTTCTTGGTCGTAAATCGACGGTTCGTCAGGTCAGGTCAGGACCTGTCTGCTCCGCCGGCCTGGGAAGCGAACATCTCTAGACTAGAATACGCTAAAGACTCTAGCCAGGCGGGCGAGGGTGTGTCTACTAAGCGCCCGCCCATTCCGTCCGCGCCGAAGGGGGCCTTAATGGCATGCTAATTGAATGCCTCACCGTGAGCTGGACTCTCGAGTTACTCGGGGCGTTTGCGCAGTGTCCAGTCGAGCTAGCGACTTCATGATTCTTATGTCACCAGAGCGAATTAGCCGGCCTGCCCAGGCAACTTGCAGTGGAGTCTGCACAGCGCAGGGCACCTAGGCATCTCTATTTCGCTGTCGATCAGAAGGATGAAGTGCATGCTGCGCGCGGTTGGCCGTGGCTCAGCCCTGCGATGTGTGGCTTGCGCAAGTTAATCGTCCTGCTTGCTGACTGCGCATCGCATCGTCGTATAGGTATCAGGTAGCCTTGGTACCGTATGAGCAGCCACCAACCGACCAATGAATCCCTGGACGGGAGAGAAGGAGCGATGGAGTCCTGTCAAGCAGCGCAATGCGACTCCGAACACTGAGTTAGGCCTGGGATCTGGTGCTCGTTTTCCATTTCCGTTTCCGTTTCCTTTCCACGGCTCCAGTTGTTGGGTCCCCATGTGCAATGGGTACATAGTAATGGGCTATTGGGAAATGAGGAATGGAGCAGTCGTGACCAGGGAGCGGCGCATAGGCAACGGGCTAACACGGACTTGAAACTGAGGACACCCCCTGCAGTTGCTCGAATAAAAAAGGACTTTCTCGCTTTATTGCTGAGAACGACCTAGTCTCGCCCGGGAATGCGCTACAGACGCCTGATGAGGTAAGCGGGGAGGACAGGCCCCAAGAGATGAAAGTACCTCTGCACGCAATTTCCGCGGTGGAGGACATCCTGGAAGAGGGTGGGAAAAAGGTTTCAAGGAAAAAAAGGAAGATTTAAAATGAGCATGCGGTAAATTGGGATGTACCGGTACGTGGCTGGAGACCTTCGGGGTACTCGCAGAACCCGCGAGTGGCCTCCCGCCCGCTGCAATTTCTCTTGCCCAGCGATCTGCTGGTCTCGTCGCATCTCGTTCTTAGGCGTTGTCTGGGGTGCCCTGCATGCGGATGCGCGCTCTCTCGCTTCCCTCTCGTCTCTCGTGCACAATTCACCAATCCGTTTGCCATTCTGCCCCCCTGCCTGTTCCCTGCCCTGCCCTGCCCTGCACCATCCATCCTCTCGGTTTGGTCTGGCGGTGCGCTGTCCCTCCTACCTGCACTTCTCACTGCTGGTGCTGCGTGTGGTGTTACCTGCACTGCTTGACTAGCACCAAGTAACTAACTAACGTTAGCTGTTTGCCGCTGCTGCTGTCTGGAAAAGGCGGCCTGTGCTTCGCCTGGCTCCCACACTCCCACACTCTCTCCTCTACCTTAAAGTACTCGCTACTGCCGCACGCTTACATATGAAGCTTGGGACTCCCGCACAACCCGGCGCTCCCACTCTCCTACGCTCCTTCTTTCCTTCTGGATCGCCGACTAACCCGCCCACGACGAACATAATCCTCCTCCTCTGACATTTCCAGATAGATAGCTAGCTAGATAGATTGATACCTCTCCCCGGTATTCTTCTTTCTACTACTCCTTCTTCTTCAGCGAGAGCAAGCAGCGAATATGCGCATGGTCATACAATAGCATCATCGTCATCCCGCCCCCTTTGTCCGACTCGCGTGGCCTGCAGCGCCACCTCGATTCCCTCTCACTCCTTTGCTCTCTCGGGCAGCCGCTCATCTCGACGGCCGCCTGAAAGACGCCGCTCACGATGCAAGACTTCAACACCATGGCGAAGCCCAAGCTGCCATTCCACTGGCCCGGCGCCCTCAAACTCGCCAGCTTCAACCCCATCCCCCCGAGTTTCCGCCCCAACCGAAGACGCAGCCGGACAAAGTCGCGACCAACCTACGACGACAAGCCCGACATCACGAAGCTACAGACCTCCTTCAACCCTCTAGATGGCGTTCGTGCGCTTCTGCGTCAGAGATGGCACTTCCTAGACATCCAGTACTTCATCTTGGCGTTCCTCATGGCTTTCTCTATGACAATTGCTCCCATGCCCACCGTCGTGCGGGTCGTGGTGCCTATTCTCACGACCTTCTTGCTTCTCATGCCCGCCACAAGACAGTTTTTCCTGCCGTCTATGGTCATCTGGGTATACCTCCTATATTTCTTTTGCAGCCGGTAAGCGAAAAAAAAAAGCTTGGACATCCAGTCTATGACCACGAACTAATTTGAGGCTCTAGCTTCATCCCCTATGAGTACCGCCCACACATCTGGGTCAAGGTGCTCCCCGCGTTGGAGAACGTCATGTACGGTGCGAACCTGTCGAATATTCTGTCAGAGCATACGCATCCTGTTCTAGATCTGCTTGCCTGGTTCCCCTACGGCATTGGACACTTTGGAGGGCCGGCAGTGACCTCTGCGGCTCTGTTCCTCTTCGCCGCGCCTGGAACCACCCCAATTTTCGCCAAGTCATTTGGATGGCTCTCGACTCTGGGTGTCACCATTGCTATCGTCTTCCCATGCACACCGCCTTGGTATGAGAAGGCTAACGGTCTGGAGCCCGCTCACTATGGCATGCCTGGATCGCCGGCTGGCTTGGCCCGGATTGATGCCATGTTCGGAGTGGATATGTACACTACCAGCTTTACAACCGCCCCGATGCCTTTCGGCGCATTCCCCAGTCTCCACGCTGGTGTTGCGACAATCGAGGCGCTATTTCTGAGCTTCTGCTTCCCTCGCTTCCGAGGCTTCTTCATTGCTTACGTCGGCTGGCTGTGGTGGGCTACCATGTACCTCAACCACCATTACGCAGTCGATCTGGTTGCTGGAAGTCTGCTTTCATGCATAATCTTTTATATTGCAAAGGCACGGTGGCTACCGCGCCCCCAGCCAGACAAGAAGAACCGATGGCAGTATGAGTACGTCGAGATCGGCGACCGCCCAAGACCATTTGACGAGGAATACGGCTACAAATTTGCCGATGGCTACGGTCTCGGGCTTCTCGAGAGGGAGAGCGTCGGTGACAGCGATGAGTGGACTTTGGGCAGCAGCTCCAGCTTCAGCTCATCTGGCCGAACCAGCACAACCAGCCCGACTCTAATGAGCCCATCGACACCCGAGGACGAATACCGACACATGTTGGTTCCTCAGGGAAGCGTTTGGGATGGCGACTTGCTCCGGCGGGAGAGCGAGTTTGCCGAAGCCGTAGCGGTGCGATGAGCAGCCGACTTGACGAAACCACCAAGCTTCACTGCGAGAGCACCCAAACCAAATTCGATTCTGGCGCCATAGCTGCGCCGCGGAGTCTAAGCATCGCGTACCAGACGAGAACGGCACGCCCGATTCATCCGGCATGTTTGCGACAGGCTACCGCATTTTTAATGATACCCCTAACTGCGTCGACGTCGAACTTGTGTAATCGGCGAGGATAATCTTACGCCCTCCGCTTTACGAAGGTTTAATACCGAGTTCGACGTGACCACCCTCGCCATCGACGCAGGCATTCGCTTTACAACAGACCCCCCCATACTCTCGCTACTGCTACTACTACTACAACTCACCACCACACATCCGCTAATAACCCCTTTATAACTTCGACGTAATTCTTTGTTCAGCATGGGCCAGTACTGCCTGGCCCCCTTTTTCAGCACCTACCACACTCATCCAACCCCCAGCATTTGCAGGCGTTCGCTATAAGCGTTATATGTGAGAAAGTGACACGCGGGGAATAAGTCGTGTCCCAAAAACGGTGTCGGAGTTCATCATTTTTGGAAAGGAGGGCATCAACTCCCCGGGAGAGGCAACACACACTGGGTTTTTCGTGAACAAACCCTCCCCCGGCCATACTACATACACATAAGAGCAGGGAACTTCATGGGACGGTTTTCGGTCTGGCATGACGACGGACGGGAAATACAGCAAAGTACAGGGAAAGAGGAAAGCATCCACTTGGTGGTCAAGTAATTATTTCGTGCGTGTAATGTGCACGAACGCACTGCCGAGAAGAAGTGTGTTTAGGCACGCCAAGGCCCCCGCGGGCTGTTGGCTGCACTCTAATCCAGTGGGCTGTTTGAGGGGAAGAGGGAGGGGATGGATAGAAGAGACGGACGCAGCCCCGTTGTTATGTATGTGGATACGATGAGAAGTCATATGAAATGGAAGAGAAGGAGAATAAGAAGAAATCAAGAACAAACACCCTCGTTTAAGGGAAAGTCACACGAACCTGTCTTGAACCTTGCATTTGCCTGTGTGGTATTGTGATATTCCCTCTGCATGCTTCCATAACTCAAGCTGACATGCTCTGCCATCGTGTTAAATACGGTCAACCTCCAATCATAGTCACGTCAATCCGAGGACGTTGGTTTAGAGTAGAGACTATAGGACGCCGATGCCGCCTTGCCCTTGCGGCCGTTTTCGAAGACGTGGTGGTGGCTTGCTCGGCGGTCTCAGCCGCATGGTCATGGTGTCTTTGCCGTGCCGATCTAGTGTACGGAGTCGGAGAATTTCGACGACCTGCCTGCCTGCTCCGCACCTTGTCGATCTGATGCAGGTGTGTACAACCTTGACTGCTTGCGTAGATAGGCAACGCCGTCCTCCTTCCAGTGACACGTAGCATGGCACTACTATGTGGGTGTTTTGAGCCTCGGAGTCTATCTACCGTAGAACGATCTCGCTGATCGGACTGCTCACAGTCACGGAAGAGGATAACTGCTATCCACACGAAACAGCACAATCTAGGAGGCTTGTTTTGGTATTCACTGTATTCGAGTATCTCATCCTATACTACTGCCCTTGAAGAGCCTACCGAGCAAATATGCAATGCTGCTTCTATAGGCCTGTGTCAAGCAGGGTCCGAGCAAGTCCAAATACGCCGTTGCTACCAGACAGATAATTCACACAAGTTTAGCATCCTCAACTCCCCTGTGACCAATTCAACTCTGATCCAAGCCTTGCAAGGCTTTACTAGGAGTGGAAGTTTCGACTGGCTCCTGTGCTTGCATTTATGCGGAGCAAGCCATAAGTCAGACACTGTGCTTAAGATGTGGCACCTTATAGCAACACGAAATCAGTTCCAAGCTTGGCGTCTTGTCTCGACTGACCGGCCAGACCGATTCATGAAGTCGAGCCGGTCATAATTCCCTCCATTATCACCCTTTCCAAATCCCACTACGCTTTCGTGTCTCTTCAATCATGCCCTTGTACTGAATGGGTTTCACACAGCTCAATCAGATTCTTCTTTCTTGACCTTGTGCCTCTTTCTCTTCTTCTTTTCTCCATCTGCCTTGATAGGCTGGCTTGAGGCAGGCACTGGGAAACTCGGCAGAGGGACGGGCGTTTGCCTGGCTGTGGAGGACTTCACCGGCTGCGAGCTGGCGATTCTGGATGATGTGGTCTGTTCCGACTTCACTTTGGTCGGAGGGGGTGATGATGCTGGAGCTCTATTGGTTCCATTCGATGGTTTGGTAGCCAATTTAGGAGTTGGTGGAAGTACCGGTGTCTGCTTGGCGGGTGCCTTTGCAGAAGACGGAAAGACTCCATTGATGACAGGCGGCGGAATAGGCGTTGTAGACTTCCTCCTCAGCTGCGATGACGCGGCCTCCTCTTCCAGGCGCAACTTCTTGGCTTTCTTCTTCTCAGACTTGTTGGTCTTGGCCGTATCCTGGGACGCGGCCTCTTCGTCCTCGTCTGCGTGCTTCCTCTTCTTCTTTGAGTCTGACTGAGGCGTTGAAACAGAGGCTCTTGGCGCCTCGGTCATTACAGTATCTTCGTTTCGTGACCGTGGTGCCTTCAGGATGCTCTTCGTTACGGGTCCGCTTGGAGTTCCTAACGGATTGAATCGCACCCTAAGGTTCGGAGGCTGGGGACGGGGCTGTTTTGTCGCCGGCACGATAGCACGACTGCTGCTTGCGACTCCGTTGCCTGGAAGAAATGTCGTAGTCCTTTGGAAGTGTATCACACGATCGACTGGCCGGTTTACTGAAACATCTAGATTAGGACTTAGTCTACAATAAGAAAAGGATGTGGCCGACTTACCCGAAGTGTACTTATCCCCTGCAGCATTGGGGATAACCAAGGTGACCGATTTCTGAGCTGAGCCGTCGTCAAACGCCATCGAGTAATCAACGCCGTTGTGCGACATCACAGGCTTTCCATCGTCAGCGTCATCGAGTGGGATTTCCATATCCTCGATCGCAGTGATTGGTGCTGAAGCCGGAGCCGTGAAGTACCAGATCTGCTTTCCGTTAAGTTGAGCATCGCGGAAGACTTCGGCAACATCGGCAGCATCGCCTTGCTCTCCAGCCTTACGCAGGTGGAAGTCCGGGGCAATCAGTTCAGGAACTTGACCACTGTGATTTTTGTCAGAATGCGACATCTCAATGAAAAGGGGCGAAATTTGTACATACGCTGTTGCCAGTGCCTGCTCTCCATTGGTCCTGGTAGTGATTGCAAAAGACTCGTCCGCCATCTCAACATCGGATTCCTCATCAGAACCCGAAGAGCTAGTAGCATCGCTCTCACTATCTCCTGAATCAGAGCTACTCTCATCGCCGGATTCGTCGTCCGATCTAGAACTGCTTCCTTCGACGCTCTGTGTGACCTTCTTCGATATGGCTTGAGAAGCCGTCTTCGATGATTGCTTCTCGTCCTCACTCTCGCTCTCAGACTCCTCAGATCCTGATTCAGATTCCGAGCTCTCTTCCGCTGCTTTTGATGCAGGGTTTACAGGCTTGACCGGAGGCTTTGATGTCTTCGGTAGTGTCTGCTCTTCGTCACTCTCGCTATCACTCTCATCAGACGACGAAGATTCGGACTCGCCCGAGCTTGATTCCGAATGCGACTGGACAGTTTTCTTTGCTGGAACCGCAGCCTTTGCCGTCGGAGCCTTACTCTCTGTATCCAACCCCAGATCTTCGCTGGCGTCACTCTTAGAGTCTTCCTCGCTCGACTCGGAGTCGGATTCTGACTCGGCTTCCTTCGTTACAACTTTTGCGCCTCCCTTTTCGTCCTCGCTATCACTGTCGCTTTCTTCGGAGGAAGACGTATCATCTTCCTGAACCGCTGCTTTGACAACCGGTCTCGTCGCGGGCTCCTCATCCTCAGATGAATCCTCCTCAGAACTAGAATCGGAGTCGGGTTCGACCCTACCCTTGAGGCCATTGACTGTGGGGCTCTTTGAGGGTAACGACTTTGTAGGTGTCTCTTGGATGACATCCCTCCTACTTTGAGACTTGAGTGGGGTTTCGTCAATCTCCTCCTTGGCCTTCTTCTTGGATGACTTTGTTTTTGTAGGAGAGTTCTCGGGACTCTCAGCAACTTCCTCGACCTTTGTTCTGCTCTTAAGGAATGCGGGCTTCGCCGAAGTTGTCGCTGTAGCTGTCTTTGTGCCGTTTATCTTTGTCGCAGCGGACTGGCTGAGCCGGTTCTGAAACTGCAGCGCCGTCTCGCCATTATCGATATCGCTATCGGAGTCGCTGTCGCTCCCTGACTCGTCGCTGCTGCTGCTGCTGCTGGAGCTGCCTGCGAAATCCTTGCTCTTGTTGAATGATGCCGGGGCACTGCTTGAGATCCGCGAGTTCTGGCGCTGCTCCCTTCGCAGCGCCGCAGCGCTCGCGACATGCGCACCGAGCGTGCCCACAGGCGCCCGAGGCCCCGCCATGATCCCTTCGACAAAGTCGAAGATCTTCTTTGTGACGTTAATTTTGACTGAGGTGGGAAGTATGTCGGGGAGGAGGAGCAGTGAGCTTAAAATTGGGCTGGGATGTGATTGTCCCAAAGCGGCCAGGAAAAAAAGACCGGAAAGAGGTGAGGGTAGTGCGGATGGTGAACTCTCCTTCAAGGGTACTTTTGGCGTAGTGAATTTTTTTTGAGCTCCCAGGTCCCCCAGTCCCTAGTCGCGTCAATGTGGCTCGCGTTGTCGGCGGAGCTAAAGAGGCATTGGCGCTTTTTACTGGCCGGTAGCACTGCGGCAGGCGGAAAAAGTTCTATACCTTATTTGAACCAGCTTGGGCCAGTTCCTAGACTATTGTTAAAGGTGAGATGGAGGCAGGGGGTTCAGCGCACAGGACAAGACTCCACGAAGTCTTATATTGTCACAATGTCTTCCATATACAGGGCAAGATTACAACATTTTTTGTGAAGGGTTTATCTGAGTAACCTGTTTGTGAGAAGGTCGCGATAATGGCCTCCAACAAAAAGAGAAAGCTTGACACCGGCCAGGCACCTCAAAGTAAGGAACACCCACTAGTCAAGAAAACCCATTGAGTTAACATGTACGTACTTAGTGATGAGTGCTGTGGCATTGCGACGCAAACTTCTGGAGGGAAAAGGCACGATACAGCCAGAGCCACAGCCTGATGTCAATGAGCAAGGTGTTTCAGAAGAAGTTAAAGAGCCTCCTATCGTGAAGCGGGGCCGAAATAAGGCTTTGCCAGTTCAGAAGGCAGAGGAGGTTCCAGCCCTACCTATAGCTCCAGAATTGGATCAAAGAGTTGAGTCTGTGCCACTTGAAAGTACATTACTTCCAGAGAAGAGCAAACGGCTCCAGCTTTCATCATTCAGCCCCAACAAAAAGAACTGTCAAAGAAAGTCAGATGGCAGCGTGCAACTGAAACTTCCCGATGGGGAACGTCTGGTCATCCTCGGAAGTTACGGCATCCAAGTTGAAAGCGGAGAGGCCACCATCGCAGGTGCCACTCTATATCCGTCAGAGACAGTACATTGGGTTCATGCGCCTCACTGCCACGCTCTTCCGGTGCTTCGCTGCTCTGATGAGTCTTCGATCAAACTACTTCCACATCCCCAAGCTGATAACCTGCGGAAGTTGGAGAGATTGTCTCCAGTGTTTGGAAATTTGTGGAATGAAGACGAAGATGCTTCAACTGGTGGTCATAAGCGAACATTTCAAATAGTATGCCCCTTAAAGCCAACATATCCGCTACTTCTATTGCTAAAGTCTTGTCCAGTTATCCACCACTGATGATGGCCCCAAGAGGGCAATGCTGCAAGACCTCAAGTCTCCAGCCGAGTGGAACAAGAAGATCGTGTCATTGGTCTCGTCCAAACATCAGAGACCGCCCATCATATTAGTCTGCGGCCCAAAGTCCTCAGGCAAATCAACATTTTCAAAAATTCTCGCCAACCGCTTGATAACGAACCGCGGCGGAACAAAGAAGAGAACCTGGGCAGGCGTGGCTATACTAGATATTGATCCAGGCCAGCCAGAGTTCTCGCCTCCTGGAGTCATCTCTTTAGCACGCCTCGATAAGCCCAATCTTTCTCCTTCGTTTGGCCACCCATCCTTACCAGACAACCAGCTGCTAAGATCACATGCGCTGGCTGCTATTACCCCAGCCTTTGATACAGGACTATACCGAGAGTGTGTTCTCGACCTATTCTCCTACTACCAAACTACGATACGGGCGAAGCATCCCTTGGTGATCAACACGCCCGGGTGGGTGCAAGGGACAGGCCTCGAGCTCCTCTCAACGCTTATCCGCAGCATTCATCCCGCTGAAGTCATATACATGTCCGAGGATGGCCCTGAAGACACAGTGGAGGGTCTCAAGGCTGTCTGCGGAACTATCGCTTTCTCGACTCTGCCATCACAGTCGGGCGACTTCACATCAAGGACCGCACTCCATCTCAGAACAATGCAGACCATGTCATACTTCCACATGGATGGAAACCCCAGTGAAGTCACACAATGGAATCCCGCGCCATTGACATCATTACCTCCAATAGAGGTGAAATACGCGGGACCATCACAGGGCATTGCAGGAATCATATGCTACGGCTCGCACCTGATGCCACACCTCCTAGCAGATGCTATCAATGGCACAGTTATAGCTGTTGTCGAGATTCAAGATCCCAAGGCGTTCCAGACTGCTTTGAAGCACGGGATTAGCTCTGATGAAATTTCACAGGATGTTGAAATGGGAGTTGGCGAGCTCGAAGAGGCTGAGGGACATATCTCACCGACATTAGACCAGTTATCTGTGACAAGAACGCCAGAGAGCATTCCTTTCATTCGACAGGAGGTATCGCTGAACCCTAAGTATACGCAAAATATCGGCTTAGCGCTCATAAGGGGCATCGATACCCAGCGTGAGGTGCTACAACTCCTAACACCACTCGATCCTAACAAGATCGAGACTGCCAGGAAAAATGGCAGCGTGATCGTTCCGCTTGCGGGCAAGTTTGATCCACCAACCTGGGCATATGTGGAAGACCGGTACAGTCAGGGGCACTCTGCCAGGAGTAAAGAACGCGAGCAGAATGAGTCGCTTGAGGTTATGGATGAAGACACAGATGAAGACATGTCCGATGACGCCGAGGACGAGCAGGAGTCATTGGCTGATCAGTCTGAGATACCCTGGACGGAAACGCTTCATGGAGGTCAGAAGCGAGCGGTTGGATCTCGAGTCTGGAGAGTGAGAAGAGATCTTGGTCGAGGCGGAACTGCTGCCGGTTAGGGTCTGTAGCACTACCAACGTGCCGATTTGAGAGCAGATAGCGAAGGCAACAACATATCACGGGCAACGGAATTGATGTTTGGTCAAATGCGGCTTGGATAGCCTATCATTACACTTCATGCTACGCCATCCTGTATCTTCATCACTTGCGCCACTGCTCCACATCTTGACCCTTCCTCCATGACAACCACTCATCCATCCATGGCAACATTGCCGTGCCACTCCAGCACATCAAGCGCTCCTCGCTCCTGTTAGCCTGCACTGCCACATCCTCATTGATCCTCACTTGCACGTGGCGGCTCTTCGTATCCCGGTACCATCATGCAGCTGCTTGTCTGTCCATCATCCGTCACATTGACCAGGTCTGAGACACATCAATTGTCTGCTGCCCGGCGAACCATGTACGTTCGTCAAATATGCTCCTTGCGTATAGTGGAAAAAACAGAAGCCCGTCTCAACAAGGAATGCTAAAGCCCTTGAGCTGGCATCCCTCCCAAAATGTAAGTCGTCCAGAAACGCCGCCAAGGCTTGATGCCGTATATTTACATCAGAAATATCGCAGAGAGGGTGGAAACAGTAACGACAAAAATGCCTGCCATTCCAGCCAAGGGAGCGGAAAGAAGTGAATTATACAAACGTAATAACAAAGGAAACCCGTGTCGAATGCTGATAACAATATTGATTCATGAGTACTGAAATCAAGGGGTAATACCCCTAGAGCCTTGATCGAGAGACAACGCCTTTTGAGGAAGACTGGAATACCAGGAGCATCGTAGCCTAATGCTTGTTCAAGAGCAATGCCTGGCTCTTGTGATGTCTCCATCGACACCGAAGGAATATATATATAGTTGATTCAGAAATATGCAATAATCATGATAGCATGGAGTTGCGCCGGCTCCCCTTCCCCCACCCTTGCGCAGGAGGATCGCTGTCTCCGGAGATGAGCGCAAATCTTTTATTGTTGTATGCTCTCCGGACTCATCATGCCCACTGCATCGTCTTTATCTGTCTGGCTCGCATTGCCCTGGCTTTGCATGCTTTCCACCCTCTCCATGGCAGGTGCCTGAAGCGCAGCCACTGCACCATTACTCGGTCCAGCTCCGTTGGGAAGACTAATGCTTTTGAGTTTCTTGGAGGGAGATATCTTCTCGGGCGTTGCATTAGCGCCTTTTCCATCTGTGACTTGGGAGCCTCCAGATTCAAGCTTCTTCTTCTTCTTGGCCAGCGCAATCTGTTCCTTGGGAGGACGCTTTTGCGGGGAGACAATCTTTCCGGTCGCGCCAAGTCGGGGGCGAGGTCGCCGTTGCTTCACGGGAAGGTCCTCATCTTCAACCAGAGGCTGATCACCATTAGCGTGCAGCTTGGCGAGGAAGAAGTTCTTGACCAGTCCGATCTGTTCTTGAATGTTCTCCCTGGTGACTGGATCGGGTGGTGCAAGAGGCTCGAAGAGGTCCGCAGTCTCGGTGCCGACTGCTTGGGCCTGACTCTGGAATTGACTGCGCACGCGAGACTGGAGAAGGTGTAGAGGTACGGACATCATGTCCAGGCCCATCTCCTTGTCAAGCCCAAGTGCCTTGAAGCCGAAGAAGTCTTCACCAAGCTCCTCGGCGAAATCGCCTCCAACGAATTGTTCGCTGCCGTCCTTGAATGCCCCAGCCCCGTCTGGACCGGCATCGTTAAGAGCTGGTCGAAGAAGATCGGCCAAATGAGCCTTCATGCGCTCATGAATAACTCCTAGCTTGGTGCTTAGGCGGTCAACTTCATCCTTGGCGTAACTTTCAAGCGACTCGATGTCGTGGCCGTTTTCGGACAAAGTATGCAGGAGCACTTCTTCGGGAGTGAATCGAGGTTGGAATTTCGCCCCACGTTCTGCGTAAACACCAACCGCATCCTTCTTCTCAGCCTCATGGTAGACATTGAATGATTTCACAAGCTTGCCGAAATAATCAGCGGCAACGTCTGTAATTGTGTCCAATGCAGAAGGTTGAAGCTCCTCAAAACCGGCATGATAGAATATCTTGGCAACGGATCGCTGCATGGCGGACCTGCAAAGTTCCGGAGCCATCACCGGCCCATCGCCTGAGATGAAATTTGGCTCAATGTCGGACTCTATAAATGGCTCAGGATTGTACTTAGGAAATTGGTTGGTGTAAACCTAGTATTTGTGAGTAAAGCTGCTATAAAACCTAGGTTGTGTGGGATCTTACCTGAGTCTGGATCTGCATCTGTTTGATGACGCCGATCTTCGAGCACAGTTTCCGAGTTTCCTGCATTTGGCGAATGTTCGCGTCGAACTTCTTTGTGAGTCGGCTTGCTGGAGAGATAAATTGACCCTCAGGTATCAATCGAAGATACTCTTCATGTTGATTGATGACTTGACCCTCGCTGTCCTCAATCCACTGCAGTTTTGGAGGGATATCAGGTATCAGACTTTGTGGCTCGTAGTAGTCTGGGATGACTTTCTCCTCCTCATCCTCCATACCTTCTGCAAGTGTCTCAGTCGGCTTAGAGGACTCTTTGGCTGCAACGGCAGATGAGTCGGTGCCTGCTGGTATGATGACACCTGCTGACTCCGCTTGCTTTTGACTTCTGAGATATCGACGCATTGCGGCCTTGGTCCGAAGAAGGGCAGGCTCTTCAAGGTTCAATTTGTTGCCTTTGAAGAGCTGGAACCTGTCCTTTGCGACAAGTGCACGATCCTTCTTTGTGACCTGTTTCCATATCTTGTATTCCTCATCTTCGAATTCTTGCTCTACAGCCTCGCCCAGGGCTTGGTTGAGAGCCATTCCATTTAATGAGGGGCCGTCGATGTCCATCGCATCTGCATTACTTCCAATGCCAGATTGACCATTCAAACCACTCGGCGTGATGGAGCCGATTGGAGGGGTAGCGAAGCCATTGCTCCCGTCTCCCAGTTCAGAACCTTCCCGGTGAGACTTGGCCAAAAGGCCGTTCAATTGCAGTAATGGCTTCTGCTCAACGTTTGGGGTGTCTTCCTTTTGGTCTGATGGTGCTTTTCTTGACTTGGTACCAGTGCCTTTAGCCCCGGTCTTGCGACCCCGGGAAGACATGATCGGCTCGTCGTCACTATCGTCTCCGCCATCGTCATCGCCTCCATTCTGCTTTCGCCGTTCTTCGGCTTCCACTTCTGCACGGGGTCTAACAACGAGGTCGGGAATCAAGGGAATAAGCTTCTCGGCCTCCTTGCGCATGCCGTTAGCCATTCGCCTAAGATGGTTGGTCATGTCCTGATTGTATCTCAAACAGTTGTCCCATATGAGATTCAAGTCAGTGACAAATTCAGCCTTTGACTTGTATTGCAGCCCTTTGAGCTTCTTCGTCATCGAGCCCAAGTCCATTGGCTGTTTGATGACTGCTGTATGTTAGAATCGCTTCTCCAATATTTAAACATGAGCAAACTTACTGTTGTAGTAATCAGGCGCATCCCTCTTATTCACCCTTTGCAAGAAAGGAGTGGAATACTCGGTATGCGCTTTCAATTCGCTAAGCACCTTCTCCAAAGCTTCGTATAATTCTTCCTGTCCGACATTCTCCTCGCTCGCCCATTTAGAGCGATTCTTTCGCACTTCATTCATGAGCGAGCGCAATTCCGCGTCGGATGCGCGCACCTGGCTACGCTTCATATCGATTCTTGCAATAAGATGTTTTAGTGTGAGGCTTGACGCGCCGAGATTCGCGTTGCTTAACGAGCCATGATTCTGTCCTGGTCCGTTGTTCGCGCTGTTGCCGCCGTTCTTATCCATTTCAGCCTGGAGCTGCTTCTCTGACTCCTCAAGTTGTTGTTGCTCTAGCATGGCTGTTCGATCATTCTCGAGTGTGTAAAAGAGGGTGTGGAAGCTGCGCTTCGCCGCCTCTTCGGTGGCATTGCGTGCTTCCTCCAATGCCTTACGCGCATCCTCGGACGACTTGGCTTGTCCTTGCGATCCATCATCCTTTGACTTGTCGCCTGATTTCCCAGGGGAGGAGATGGATTGGACTGGAGAGCTTCCAGATTTGGATGGGGACAGCAAAGTCTTGGCGGCAGCAACACTAGCACTCTTCGCTTTCAGCGGAGAAGGTTGTGTTTCTTCTTCTTCCTCCTCGTCTTCATCATCGTCACCGTAGTCGTCTTCATCGATGACCCGCTTAGCCTTTTTTAGGGGCGGCTCCTGAATCGGCGCGTGGTCGGTAGTGGGAGGAAGCAGGGACTCAGCGTCGGGTCGCGGTCGTTTAAACGATTCTATCGCGGCTCGATTGTAGCTGCCATCCTCGGCGAATAGCAGGGCAATCTTGGATTCGCTTTTGCGATAGAGTTCCGCGAATTGGGCTCGACGGTTCTCGAGTTCGATATCTGATGCCTCAGGCATCAACGTCATGGCATTGTCGACGGGGGTCTGGGTTCGCGCCGAACCATCATCAACGAGCTGATTCATCTTGCTGGCGGTATAGGAGTGTGCAGCGGGCGGTGGCCATCCATTTTGACTGATGTTGAAGGACATTTTGAGCTCCTGGTGGATGGACAGTCGGAGCGCCGCCGTCACCCATGCGCCCCAGAAAATGCGCTCGAGTTCAGCCGGCTCCCGGGCGAACCGTGATGCTAGACGCACATGGGAAGAAAGAGCGCAATCTGTAGAGATGATGCACCGGTTTTGAGCCCAAACGAGATGGTTGTGGGGGCACCGCGATGAATACCGTGAGGCGCGACTTGCGTGAGGTGGTTCCGTGAGGTTGATTTGGGAGTCTGGCACTGCCGTTTCTGGGCAGGGAGTTTTCCTGCTTGGTTGCGCCGGTTCTCCGGTTTTGGCGAGGGAGACGGTACCTTTGCGGACACCCCTTAAGACACCAGCGCTCAGCGCTAGGATATCTAATTCGCGATGCAAATTTGTCTACTATGATTCTAATAATCCTCCTTTATCTAGGGATAATTTGCGCATTGATTGCACTCAATTTATGATACCTCATCACTGAGAAATTGACTCAACGGCAAAGTACCGCTGACCACCCGCCTCGTGGCATCCGACAGATACGGCACGTGAGTTCTCAGGTGGCACAGCTGACTCAGCAGGCCGTCTCTATCGAGACGTAGTATTCAGCCAGGATAGACAGCGTCTTGCAGTGTGTTAACTCTTATGGTTCCTATTTTGGATGTATTCTCATTGTTTGCAATACAAGAATGACACTAAGAAATGTCCAAGGGGTCCACGAATAAATGATGTCCATGCAGAAACTGATCGATATCAAGCATCCGAGCTTCTTGATATCTGGGGAAACCTGACATTCAATGACTGCTGAGTGGGGTTCTCTGCTGGCAATTGTGCTTTGACACGCCGCCTATTGACAATCTTGATCTATAACATTGCCACCTCCATGTGCTTTGCAATAAACATATAAACAAAAGATTGCCTGTCACTTATCGATTTTGTCCTGTACATGCTTTAAAAACCCCTTCCTTCAAATGACATAGCTGGCGTGCCATGGATCAGGGGTAGGCTGGCGTTGCACCAATCCCAGAGCACCATCCCTCCAGCCACAGCTCCCCCACCTCCCCAAACCGCTTGTGAGCCACTGCACTGGGGCGCCTCTGGGGGGCGCTGTCTACGTAACCTGTTAGGCAATCGGTCCACCACCGCAACAGTGGAGCTCTTGAAGCCAGCGGCTCAAAGAGGAGCTTCAGCCACCCGGCGCTCTGAACTCCAACACAGCTCACTTCACACCACGTTGAATGCGCCAGCTGTGCACGCCTGAAACAAGATCACAATGACGGAGATCCTCCGCGGTCTTCTCTAACCTCAAGCATTTGTATCCAAGCACAAGCCACACTCACATCATGAGGATAAGACTTCCCTTTGCCGGTAAGTAGCAATCACGTCAACTTGTTCAAGCTTCGGCCTGCGCTCCAACGGTCTAGGCAGCCGCAGAGCTGTCGAGAAGCAACCTCGCTGATATCGTGTTCTTCCCAGGAGTCTTCTTTCTCCTGCTCCTCCTCGCCGGCTATGCGGGCCTCACCTCGCTACAGCTCGACCTCTACGTGAACGACAAGGTGCTACATCTCCTGACGTTCTTCGCACTGACCGTCGTCTTCTACTGGATCCTCGACACCAACCGCCGGCGCACCCTCAACCTGACTCTAGTCGTCTGCACACTCATCCTCGGCGTCGGCTCCGAGTTTCTGCAGGGCTTCCTGCCCAACGGCCGCGACTTTGACCTCTTTGACATCATCGCCAATGTCGTCGGCAGTCTCGGCGGCCTGGGCCTGTGCAGCTGGTACCACACCCGCATGCTGGAGCGCAAGCGTGTCCGCAGGAACTACCAGGCGGTCCCCGGTGAGGAAGGCACCGAGGATCTAGAGCTCGGCGAGGGCGTCGGACCGCAGGAGTCCGGCATCACGGAAGCGTCGGGTGCCGCGGATGGCGGCAGGTCGCTGGAGGAGGAAGTTGACAACTGGGATGAGAATGCGATCGATGCCTGGGATGAGGCAGATGTAGGCGACGAGGTCACAGCGCCTAGTGCCGGCAAGGGCAAAGAGGCCGAGCCGAATGGTGATCACGCAGAGCCCAAGAAGCGGACCGATTAGAATTGGAGCCTGAGTCTCCAGAAATAACCTTGAAATTTGTTACTTGGGGTTTGATGGCGTTGGTGGTTTGTATGCTGTATGTATGTACGAAACGAAATGATACTGTGACGGATTCAGTATGGTTTGCCTCAGAGCTACTCGTCATCGTCATGGTTGGGAATGATAGCATGAGAATTGCCAGTGACTCAGTACTCGATGCTGCATAATGTTATTTGCAGTTGACGCCAATATATTATGATGTTTAAAGCCACAAACTAATCTGGCCCTCTGTCGCAAATATTCTGTCGGTATCTTAAGTCGACAACTAGTCTATCTTAAAGCATTCGTCAATCTTAAAATGGAGGGGAGGTCCGGCAGATATATAAAGTAGAAATAAAACAAATTGCCAATGCGTTCGTAGTATCCCGATGGGTTCCTTCAATCACCTGCGTGTGAAAGGGCTAATCAGATTCCTCGTCGGACTCTTTCTCTCCCGCCCGCCTGCCGTAAGAAGGGACTTTCACCACAATAGCACAAAAAGAGTAAATAGTCCCAGTAGATGCCTCATCTCCTTGCTGTTGCCAGTCAGATTAAGGCTCATGTATGGACGGTATGACTGAAGATACCACCAAACCAAGTGAAAATGAGGATGATGAGGGAACTTACAGCAATATAAACAGCTTGCAGCTCCTTGTTTGAAGGCCTCGTCAACCAGGTAATTCGATCAAACGAAACGTTCGTCATGTCTGTATCCTCTTTGATCCAATCTTCCTGTAAAAACTTCAACTTCTCCTCTACCCCCTCATCACCCTCATCGTCTACCTCTTCGTCGCTCACCAGGAGAGGAAAGCTGTTGCCCACGATAGCGGCGGACCTTCCAGGGCCAACAAAGGCAACGGGTCGTATTTCTGCAAACAGACCTAGGGCCGTGAAAGTCTCCCAGACGACCATGTCAAGCCCCTTCAATGCGTGAGGTAGCATAGCCTGCTCAACATTGGTGTGGCCGTAGGCATGAGCACAGAAGAATCCCAGGTAACCGCCTATGTACCTCGAGTGTTGATATTAATTCGACATTGGTTGTAGAGTGTGATGCCTTACCTTGTGTCATAAATTTGTCTACCCCCAGCATTGTTTCAATGAATTGGCACAATGGTAGGTGCGCTGGATCCATTGTGGGAGAGTTGCCTGCCATCACACCGTTTCCGCGCGCTGCGTACAAGTTGTACGTCAAGGTGACCCGGTGACCTGAAAAGACCTCGCGTACTTCATGCTCGCAGTCGCTATAAAAGGCCGTCCAGCGAATTGACGCGTGATCCCTATCGTTTCTGGCCGTACCCCAGTCAAAGGTCATCTCCTTCTCCTTGTGGCGGACCTGGAAGCGGCCACCTTCGTGCTCGACAGGCAGACAGATAACAAGGGTTCCAAAATGCATGTTGAATCGAGGTGTATCCACATGGGCCCTGAATTTGCCCTGAGGGCCAGAGTAGATCTGCTGGGGTAAGTTCTCTGATTATTAAGTACTGGGGATCATATATGTTATCATACATTGAGTTTGTACAACTCAGCCCTGACAGCGCGACATTTTCTTGAATCGATTATGCTGGGAAGCAAGACCTGTGCAATTGTGTCGATGATACCAAGGTCATATGGGTTGAAGTTGACCGAGAAGGCTTCTGGATTCATCTGGAGAGCCTTTCGGTAACCCTCATCATAAACACCCTCTCCTCCTTTCCCCGAAGTTGCTGGCTGGCAATCTCTGATGAGACGTTCAAGGTTCCTCTCAGCCCCATCAGCCAATGGGAAGGCGAGCTTAGTCTCTTTGGCAAGCACTCCCTCACCACGGCCAGATGGATCCCAACGAATGGTGATCGGAGGGCAGGCACATGGATTCAAGTCGGACGTGTCACTCGCGATATCTGAGAGCGACTTGTTGTCGACGATGGGGACTACACCCCCACAAACGAAGGTGGCCTTCCCATGTTCTTGGCTGATGGTATCTCTCAGTTGTCGTAGGAGATGGTCCGTGATTCTTGCGCCCTCGCTCGTCTCAACATCTTCAGTATCATCCTCGTCATCACCATCCTGGTCAGATCCGTCACTAACGTTTTCATCGTCATCCTCTTCCTCCAACGACATCATGCTGATGTCGGGAACTCGCTCCTCGGCGGCCATAGTACAAGACTTGGTGCCAAGAATACGGTTTACGCTCAAGATTTGCAATCCCAATTGCCTGAAGTCGTGAAGTACAAGAGCTCCATCTCATATATAAATGGACAGAAGAGCATTGGCAAGGCAGAGGCTAGAGAATGATCTTGTGGAAATAAAACATCACCCCTGAACATTCCCGTAATCTGGTGGGCAGTAGGCAGCAATCAGGCATTGCATCAAGGGAGGATATCAGAAGCTGCATCACATGACGGCATTCGGAATCCATGACTTGCATCCCAGCCTCTTCCACCAGAGATCCCAACGATGAGAACGGAATGCATTAAGCATAAACAGACTTGATGGTTGTAAAGAAGCGCGAACTGTGCCTTTCCGGCCCCCACCAACTCAGGCAGCAGGCACCCCGTGAGTCACTTGCTCCCATTGGTGGTTATGACATGGCCATATCTCTCTAGGTTGACACGGGAGGCATTGAGCAAAGAAAACCAAACGTCCGTTCCAAACTTCGTATTGATGTCACACCGGCCGTTGACCGAGGTACTCTCAACGGGGAAACGCAACCAGTCATCCGTCTACCAACTCTGGACTGTGCTTCGTTCATTGAGTCACTTGGTACGAATGATAACTTCAGAGATGGAAGACTTCTTCCACGCAAAATCTAGTATTGCGACCGCTCGATCCTATTCATCGTTTCAGGATATGCCTTGTCTCCCAGCTTTCGAAGCTCTGCGGGTTCCGTCCATCAAGAGCGGATGCCCATATCGAACAAACGGCCAAGAGTCGTAAAGACGGCTATGCTCATCATACCCCGGCACGGGCGCACCTGACCCTTGTCGAAATATGGTCCTGGATGGTGCGATTGAATTGCCCGGCTTGATGGTTCGCGACACAACTTCCCGGATCCAGAGGATCCGGACCGTCGACATCACAGCCGCGCGGCTTTGAATTTCTTCAAAGGAGTGAGTTACACGAGGTCTTGTCCGGATTCAGTGTTGAGATTGTAACGCGTGACTCCTTCTTGTCTGCCTGAGATGCGTGCCACCCGGAAGCCTGCTAGTCTCCACGGCTGCCTAACCGCGCGATTACGGTAAGAGGCCCCGACAACGCTCCATTCTGAGGATTTAAATGAAGTGTATAATCGAGATGTCTTGATCTGAAATCCACAGACCAGTCGCTTCTGAGATTCATTGGCAGGTGTGATGTGTTGCAATTGTTGCTAGAGTCGGGAAGACGAGTCAATCTGTAGGTGGGGTGTTGTGCTGTTATCATTTTAATCCAGGATGCCCTTCAATATAATCTGTGGCAAACTAAAACAACCTCAATAGCTCGTCCGAGCAAAGATATTGTTCTGGCTCTTAAGAATATCTTAGCATTGAATGATTAGACTACACTGTGAGATGGATCTGTTTGTTATGCGTTCGTTGGCAATTTATCAGTACACAAGAAATGATAGCAGAAGAATATTTCTAGATCATTTCGAAGACAATGTTTACCCAGTCAAATATGCTAGAATTTGGGTTCCAACCACTCAAAATGAGGTGCAATGGACAGGCGGCATAGCCACACAAGGCTGTGGCCCTTCTCACGGCCCAACAATTGCCCGCTGTTGATGTGATTACCTCGACCTCAACGTATCGCCCTCGATCTCAATCTTCATATTCGGACGAGGATCATGGGATATTCTAAGTCAAACATCATGGCGCGAAGCTTGTCCTTCATAAATAGGCTTGAATCATATTATAAAGTGATTGACATTTTGGTTCAAACCAATCCTGCATCCATCTTAGCATTTTATGCCCTGATCTCGCCAATTAAAAGCCTCCTATATCTCTCTCACTCCTATGGTCTTTTTGGTCCGTTGGTATATTGTTTTGGTAGTGTAAACGTATGGAAACTAGAATTCAATGCCCTGAATTCTGATGATCCCAGCCCTGCTCTAGATTTCAGGAAGCTGATGCAAGATGAAAGTAACATGGCGGCCATCACGGTGAGCTTTAGTCGACTGTGGGCAATAAGGCTTTACTGATCTAACACAACATAGTCCGCTATTTTTGTGCAGGTAGGACTTACCGCTCTGGCTTTGCCCAATCTCAGTAGCGTACCATGGTCTGCACGAGGCTGCTTCACCCTCAGCCTAGTGACAGCAATAATGGCCGTATACTCTGCAAGCAGCCAGTATCAAAACCTGACTCGTTTGTTCACCCCTCAACAATTGAGGGAGTGGATATCAGGTGGAAGCAACCAAGAACTGTCTGTATATGAACACGACACTGGCAAGATATTGCCATCAGTACCAGCAGTTATTCTTGTCTCAGCTCCTAGTAACCTCCTCTCTGTGTCTGTATATTCATTTTTAGTTGGACTGGGTGTATACTTTGGATATATCTGGGATCGGAATCTCGATGAAACACTAGGAGTTGAAGGAAGCCACGCGATATTCATCACATACGCTGTTACTTTGGGGCTGTGTCTGTACATATATCTGCTCTCTGTTGCACAGAGCAAAAAGAACTTCGCCTACGCGACAACATTTGACGAAGTACTACGCGAATCACTACTCCCCGGCGGGCTGGAGGAGGTTACCAACCATCAGAAAGCCGTCAATATACCGCAGCCCCAGAACAAAGCTCCTAACACGCAGCTCGGCGAAAGCATTTCCCCAGAAGTGAGAGACGATATACCTTCCAGAGAGCCGGTGTGCGGCATGGATCTTTGCACAGCATTTCGGGAAGCAGCTCGAATGCACCATGAATTGGCACTGGTTGAAAAACGAATTTCTGAACTGCTTCCGACTTCAGAAGATCTAAGTAACGCAGTGTGAAGCTCTGGCGTCTCCTAGATATTAGCCGAGAGGGATACTAGGGGAAAGAGGTCGAAAAAAAAACGAAAAGGAAAGTTGGGCAGGACAGGCAAAGAGGGGCTTGGGCAGGATTCGAACTCGCCGCCTCCAGGTCTAGATGTAAACTCGCGATACCCTCACAAGATCACCGAATAACACAGCGAAGACAGGGAAAAGGGCAAAAAGAAACGGCGGAAGTTTCTTCTCAACGCCCAGCCACAGGTTCTTGTATACAGGGACCTGTGCTACTGCGCGCCCTCCTTTCGGATCATGGGTATTTCTTTGCGACGTTGCTCCTGCCTTGAGCCTGCGGCAGGCGTCGTGTCTGAGGGGGGTTAGATAGTGTTTGCGGATTTGGTTCGTTGCTCTGGCCTGACTATCTCGTCCTGTCCACCTGTTGATAACCCTCACTCTTAACCACCCCTATAAGGGTTCGGACGGTTTCGCCCCCACATTAGGTGACAGGCAGGTGCCAATGTTTCTCCCATTACTCTACCCTAGGTATGTGCCTTAGGCTTCTATCGTGTATGCATGCCTATGTTTCCCCTTCCTTACAAACGCCAGATGTACCCAATATCCCACGCCATGCTGTGATCGATGACCTTTCCCCTTCGAAGGGGCTTCGCCTCAGCTTTCACCACCCGAAGGCTTCATTATGCCACCACACCACCCGACCTCTCATGACCCAAGCGCCCACGTACTCTCTTAGTTCCCGCGCCATATCCTCCGGACCACAGAAAAGCACCGCCACGCGCTCCTCGCTGCCGTGCTTGAACGCATCGTCTACGATTTTTCTTAAATCTGGTCGCTTGCGATTATGGCTGGCAGTGTATCGATTCCGTCGACGGTCGCGGTACATGGAGCTCATCTCGACCTCCGAGTCGACAGCAGTATCAGACGTCGAGGCTGCCGACGACCTTGTTGTCCTCGAGGTGCCAGGCGGGTCGAGCATGTCTCCCGTCAGGAAGATCTGCACGTTGTCGTCGTCCATGATCGACTTCGCATTCTGCCCCGTCACAGCCCATGTGGCATCTCCGGCACCACGCACAGCCCACACCAGCTGCACCTTTGCGGACGGGCTATCGTGGACGAGAGCCCGGTATAGGGGCACGGTGAACGTCGCGCCGACGCCGCCGGACACCAGCAGGACCCGGTCAAAGTCCCCTCCTGTGAGATTAGGGAACCGTGTACTCACACCATACGGACCCTCGATGCCGAGCGGTATCTTTCCTCCCTCGTTGGCTCTGACATCGCCGGTGACAACAGGGCCGGATCGAGTCGCGTTGGCGAATCTGGCTAGAGCACGCGTTAACGGTCCGTTTCGCTGTCGTGCGACCAAAGTCAGGTCGCCCGTCTCCTCATCCACGGCGGCAACAGTGAATGGGTTGTATAGAAACTCGAAAAGGAGGTAGGACGCAGATGCCGGATTGGTGTCTTGGCGTGCTGCGGCGGGAATGGTTAGGTAGATGTGTGAACCTGGATGCTCCCGGAACCTGTTGAGCTTGGTATACGGGACCGAGGCGGTGATCTTGATGAGATTGGTGCCGGGGATGGTCTCCAGACTTGCGTGTGACATGATAGTATCCAGCTTTCGGGATACGAGGTCCGCGATAAAGACAATGAAGGCCTCGGCCATGAAGAAGTTGGCAGGCTTTGCGTGGAAGATCAGGAGCGGCGGGAGCAACAACGCTACAATCAAATGGACAATGAAGAAAAGGCGGTAAGACCACTGGCGGATGGCCCGTAGCGCCGTCGTGTTCATGAGTGTCATTCCGAGGAAGGCAGCGACTCCGACCGCAACAACGGGGGCAACTATCCGTCGGGCTAGGATGCCGACCTGGACAAAGTAGTTCAGGTAAAATGTGGCATGCAGGACCAGTAGACCATAGATGATACGGCCTAACACTCGATGATATCGGTTCAGCTGCTCATGTGAGGATCTGAAGACGAAAGCAAAGGGGTTGATGGACTTGAGTGAGAGCAGATATTGGATGGGGAACTGCGAGGCGGCGATCATGCCGAATCGCTTCGTGAGATGGAGGTAGTCTAGTCATGTTAGCATACAGGTCTTTGAGACTCAAAAATGAAACAAAACGCAGGTGTATTTCATGTTCGTGAAGAATGAGCGCGGCCATATAGCACTTGAGGTATACATGGGATTGCGATGTGCAGAGGCGCTTAGCTTACCATCTCCAGTTTGGAGGACACACAAGAGCAGCATCAGACTGCCCCAAGCTGTTCCAAAAACCCACTCATCCCTCTGACCCCAGGCCTGACCGAGGAAGAAAACATCCTCGCCGAGCCACCATTGCGATTTGCGAACCCGAGTCGCGAGCGAGCCGTAGCTGCTGCGCCGTTGGACCTTGAGGACTGGCGAATCAGGAATCACATCATAGGAGCCCCGTCTGCTCTTGAAGGCCTTCAATGTCCATATGGCGAGCCTGTAGATCAGAACGACTGCAACGGGCAGGAAAGCGGCGAGCTGTGCGTAGCCGGCATATCTGTCAAGGGCCTGCCGCCGGGCGTGCTTCTCTGCATCGGACAGATTGATGAACTTGTATGGCCAGCCCATGTCTTCCGGCGGCAGTTGGTCGGCGACTCGGAGATAAAATACCGTAGGCTCTACAGCTCTGTCTTACACATTGAAAAGCATGCAGTTTCCACAGAGACAACGACGTAGAAAATAGCAGCTTGTGCGAGCTGAGATTGGAGACACGACGGGACAGGACAGGATCAATTGAAGAGTGGAGAGCGAAGAGAAAGCAGACAGACAGCGATGCGTGCACGCATTACGAATTTACGAGGTTGCATTGGCGGCGAGCCAACACCAGCCAGGATGTCCCCTATTCCGGCTGGGATGCCGTCCTATCTATCTTTCGCGTACTGCACCTCCTAGTCGCGGGTGGTGCTAATAAATTAAAACAGGAACCGCAGAACTTTGATTCGCGCAGGCCTACAGCGTCCCATTGGGTGCCGATATGCCAGAAAAGCGCCATCTCGGCCCTGGCTGGCGTGCCTGGGCGCTGCCACTGCCAGCGACTGTGTAACCAGCCCCGCGGCGCCAGTTCTCAAATAGGCACAGATCCCTGAGCCTTTTCTCGGGCTTGTCCTGTTTACAGGTTACATACAGTACAGAACAGGGCAGTACTGGGGTGACATACCTAGGCTCCTAGGTAAGTAGTCGCACATCTTGCCCTACCAGTGGAGCTTTAATGACCTCGTACTGCTTCATTTAGAACACCATGCATCTCTCCCCTGACCCCAGATCGTCATTGTGGCTCTATTTCGGCACTCTGGGAAGAATCGACCGTGGGGGTGTATGCATGCTCTAAGCAGAGTCCAGCCCCTATGATGGCCGTCCCCATGGCGCCCAAGTACACGGCAAGCCGCAAGAGACAGAATTGCAGTGCAATGTCTTCCATGAGGCTGAATTGCTTGGACACTGATGGTCTTCCACGCGTCATTAGCTGCAGCCATTGTTCCGTAGTGGAAATAGTGTGTCGTGTTCAGCCGTGGTTTTGTGATTTTGGCGCCTAGCTTCGAACCTCTCGGGTTTGGACACGAGGCTAGGCGTCTCCGTTTTCCTCTGTAATTTCTGAAGTGTCGTTATTTTCTCCCTCAAGAGACTCTCCGACGCGCCTGGGCTCTCTTTGTGGGGAGAAGGGATCCATCAATTAATGAATTGTTTGAAGGCCCAACTCGTCATCTCGGCCAAGCTGGCCGGATCCGTGAATAACAATAAGGACTGGATTTCCCCATGGAGATCTCGAAAAATTCGCGTAGCTTGAACAGTATAGGGGTTAGCATATAATACTTCAGATCTTGAAATATGCTGCAGACACATTGGAAATTTGGAGATCGTGTAATTCCAGGACAAGCGGACATGATATAAAGTGCATGTACTACATTGAAATCCGAGAGAGACTGGGAAACGGGATCAGATGCACCATTCATCCTGCTGGGTATCTACATGCAGGTAATCCGAATCGAGGCTCAGGTACCGTTAACCTGAGAAGTAGGTACGCAGGTTCACCTACCTAGTGCTAGGATACCTGGGTACCTGGTAGCCTTGGAGCCCGTGGACCGGCCCTGACTGATATGGCTTATCGATAAGAAAGCTCCAAACAGGGAACACCTGGAGGTGCCCCAGCTCGCTAGAACAACAGCAAATGTTGCCAGATGTCAACGTGCGTACATCGTGACAATACCTCATTGAGCTCTAACACACTCTGCAAATACAACAGAAGGCCACTCTCGTCAAAACAAGTACTCATATATCGACTAGTGGTCTCACCAAATACATCTCAAGCACAACCACAATGGCGTCATTCGCCAGCCCACAGTTCCAGTCCATGGAACCCGACATCAGGCTGGAAGACTACCTGGACGACAAGCTTCAGTCGACCACCGACCTCGAGAACCTGGACAGCCTGCTCGCCAATGTCGAAGTCCAGCGCAGCCAGCTGCAGTCTCAGCTCGACGATGCCACCAAGGAGCTCGAGCTCGCACGCCGATCCACTGGCGACCGCCAGAGCTCCCTGCTGAGCCAGATCAACGAGTTCCAGAAGCTCCAGCAGAGCATCGACGTCCGTCTGCAGATAGTGGCTGCCTCGGACGCTCCAGATGAGGCGATCCGCCGGCTCGAGCAACCCATGAAACAGCTACAGAAGCTCGACCTCGCGCACAAATACTTGGTACTGCTACAGGATGTGGAGGATCTGCGGTCGGCGGCGCGGTCGCATCTGCCGCAGAGCCCGAAGGAGGCGTTGCAGCCATATACACGGCTCAAGCAATTGTCGATTTACATGAAGGAGCTGCAGGGCCCTGCGGACGAGGCGGCCGTTCATCTGGTCAACCATGTCGCAAAAATCACGGCAAGCTTGTGGGACGAGATGAAAATGACTATGTGGGCAGAGCTGGAGACCATCCTCAACCAGCGAGGCTGGCCAAAGGTGGACCCGCGTTCTGATATCGACCAGGAGTGGCGCGACTGCTTCGAGAAGCTCATGGATCTCCAAGTCCCCGAGGTGCTCTATTCGGACATCACTGTCAGCCTCTTACCCATCGATGTCATGGCGCAGATCTTCGTCAAGGAGTTCCGATTCCACTTTCTAAGCGACAAAGTGACCAGCAATCCCCAGAGCATCGGAACCCACTGTTTCCCATGGTTCCTAGCTCTGTTAGAAAAATGGGAGGATTTCTTCCGGGACAACTTCAGCATTATCCTTGCTTCCAAGTTTCACGAGACACCGGTATCCGACAAAATGGTATATATGGATCCGACTTGCGCTCTGATCACATCCCTCCTTCCGGTTCTGAGAGAAAAGCTTGATTCTTCAGTAGCTGTTGCATTGAACGACCCTGCCTTCTTCAGCAGCCTGCTCTCTCAGCTGATGACCTTTGACGAGAATCTGCGGTCTAGATACAACTATGATGGGGGAGATCCAGAAAGAGGGTGGGGAGGCCTGGCGTCGGAAGTTTTAGACAAGCACTTCGGCCAATGGCTCAGTGCAGAAAAAGACTTCGCTCTGGAGCGATACAAGGTGATTATGGCCTCACCGGATGCTAGAAACATCGACTACGAGTATAATGGTCCAGGCAAAACAAAGCCGACTTACGGTGCCGTACGGGTTACTGACCTGCTGCGATCCGTGACAAGCCAGTATGAGCGGGTCAGGCGATTTTCTCACAAATTACGCTTCCTGATAGACATTCAGCTTGAGCTTCTCGACGCTTATCACGACCGACTCAAAGAGTCCTTGGAGGCTTATTATTCTATCACATCAACACTAGGTCGTACCTTGCATGGTATTACTGCGGATCAGGTCGCTGCTTTGGAGGGCACCGGAGCGTTTGAGACTTTGTGCAAAGTGTACGGCAGCGCAGACCATGTCATCAATATTCTGAAGGACTGGAGCAACGAGGAATTCTTCGTCACTCTATGGGAGCAGCTCCAAGCCAGGGCGAAGAAGTCAGAAGATCAGAGCAATCTCGCCGGCGGAATGAGCTACGATCATGTCAGAGAACGTACTTCTTCTGTTGTTGGCAACGAAGAAGATGGTGATGATGGTGTCTTGTTCGATGAGACCATCGCAGCCTACAGCGCCCGAAGAAAGACCGCTCAGGAGTTTTTAGTGGCAGCAATTGTCGAATCTCACCAGAAGGCATTCCGACCCTATCTACAGCGGCCACAATGGACAACAATCAACGAGGAGTCTTCGGCTAGTGAGTCGATTGCATCCTTTTACGCCACATGCCGGATTGCTAACATATCCAGTTGATCCTTACCAATTGGCTATCACAGCTGAGCTCGATGAGCCTCTACGGGTAGGGTCACGGCACAACCTCGTAAAGAAAATCATGCTAATTTCTACTAGATAATGAAGCGGAACATCGAGTTCTTGGTCAAAGCCCTCAGCACGGCTACGTTCCGCCGCATCTGGCGAGAGGCTCTCGACAAGCTGCAGGACAGCCTCTGGAGCGAGGTCCTGATGCGGCAGAACTTCACCACATTTGGCGCAGCGCAGTTCTTCCGAGATGTGCATGCTATCGCGTCCCTTGTTGATCGATACATCCCCGACGGGTCTGCAGCTTTGGCAAGCCTATGGGATGGCGTGAAGCTCTTGAATCTACCGGTAGAAGCCCAGGAAGGGGGCGTTTCGCTCAAACAGGCGAGTGACCGCGTCTTCACTGATAATACCGAGGCGAAGAAGCTTTTGGAAGATCTCCAAATTGAGAGCCTAACGCCTGCCAATGCCAGGCATATATTGCAGCGCAGGGTGGAGAATAGCGAGTAAGCATGGGTCAAGTGCATGATCTCTTGTTTATAGAAAGAACCTTGAGGTGCCCATATATACATCTATCTACCCGTCTGATGATTTGAATATCCTGGTTGCTCTCACTACGTAATGGCTCTTTTGTTGAAGATGTTTCCATAGCACCGGTAGAACTGCAGCTAAGACGGACCCCTTTGTAACGCCTGGAATAGGATATCCTCTTTTCCTTCTCACGGTTTCTAGTTGATCGCCCGCATCGTCATCTCCACCACGGCGAACGTGCCCGCGCTGACGGGCATCGCCCTCAGCAGCGTCGGCCCGATGCCCTTCCAGAACCCGCGCGCCCCCTCAGCGCGCCACGTCTGCGCGAAGCAGTCGCGCATCGTCTTGTACTTCTGCCCGGCGCCGAAGCCGTCCGTCTGCATCTTGCTCTTGACGACGTCGAAGGGGTAGCTGGCCAGCCACAGCGCCTCGCCGGCCAGGCCGCCGTAGAAGGCCACCTTGTACGAGGGCACGTCCTTGCGGTCGACCTTGTTGCGCGCCGCGTCCGCGTTCATCAGCCACTCGAAGGTCAGGAACCACACGCCGTACGCCTGCGCCTCGCGCCAGATCGTGACCGCCTCGCCGCGGTACAGCCCCCGCAGCAGCGAGCCCTCCTGCGCGCCCAGCTTGCGCACGCAGTCCCACGGCCCGTTGTACAGCTTGCCCGCGCCGTGCGGCTGCGTCTGCAGCCGGATGCGCACGTGCTCGATCGGCCCGGAGATGACCGAGTTGGCCACGCCGGCGAACGCGCCCGCCGCGTAGTACTGGCCGTAGCTCAGGCTGCTGGTGCTGGTCGGCGTGGAGGGGATGGGGGTCCCGGCCGCGGCCGCGTTGCGCTCCTCGAACCAGCGCCGCGCGGCGTGAAAGCCGCCAAACTGAACGGACACACAGGCACCTATACCGAGTAGAGGGGTGAGTGTGCCCTTGTAGAAGGCCAGGGCGCCCTCATTCTTGTAGATGGAGGCCGCCGCGCTGAGGGCGTTGGGGTATTGAGTGGAAGTCTGGAGGCGGACTTTGACAATGTCGAACGGCTGGCCTTTGGTGAAGTTAGCAGACCTTTATTACCGCTGTATATGACTGTCGATATCGGCTGTCAAATGGAAAAAGACAAAGGCACAATGAGCGACCTCATGCTCTAGCGCTCATCTCCGAAGGAAGTTGACCGCCTCCAACGAGCTGTCGAGAGTGGCATGTCCAAGATGATGGATTGAGAGGAATAGTACGGAAGCTCCTTACCTAGTAGAACCTGCGCAACTCCTCCTGCGGCTCCTGCGAAGAGATCCTTCGCCGTCTGCAAAGCGCCTGAGGCCTGGTGGCCCTCGACATCGGCGGCAGAGTCGCCCATTGCTCTGCCCCGCCCCCGCTGCTCGGGGTGCTTGATCGGGTGGTGGAGGTCGACCCGGTCAGTTGCCCGACGAGATCTCGGGTCAATTGGCGACTTGGGCTCTTGTTACAGCTTCGGTGAAGCTTCTTCGTGCGGAGTCGAGGTTGGAAAGGTCCAGAAACGAAGCGCTTGGAAATTCCGATGGTGTGGATGGAGGTTGAGATACTATCAAAGATATCTAAGTGGGCCCTGTGCCTTTCTGTCGGGTCCCTTGCAGTTGATTGCGTGCTCACTGGGAAATTCTTATCGGGGAACAACGCCGGTGCCGACATCGGGTCAGCCTCCAGGCTGTCTACCATATATCATATATCAATAGAACAGATACCAAGACAAACAATTATGAATTATGCATTGGTAAATATTATTATTGTAGGCAATTCGCTAGACAAGTCGCCTCATGATGCCACTCTCTAAACCCGAGTGATTTTGCTTCCCTTCTTTTCGTTCTTGGCTTCATTTTGCGCTTGCGCATTGAGGACGATAGCCTCCTTCAACTTGGCGATGACTTCTGGCTGGTTACTGAACGCCATCTGGAGCATATCTTCCAACTCCTTCTCGACTTTGCCCAGGTTCTTAGCACCGAGCTTCTTTCCTCTGGCGTCATTGATGAGCGTAGCCCATCGCTGAGTGAAACCATAGATAGATTGTCGGAGGAGCTCATCCAGCTGCTCACTTGCATCTTGGTCAGCCTGACCATTAGCCTTGGCGGCTGCGGATGGTGTAGAGGCACTCCGTGACCACAAGGAGCCCGGAATGAAGCTGCTGAAATAGCCGATCAAATTCTGTGGGCTCAGGTTCTCCCAGATCTGTCCAAAGTGTTGCATATCGGCGTCGTGACTTCGGACATCGCCAATCTCTAGAGATACCAACTCGTTCTTCAGGATGAGCAGGTTCTTGATCATGAACAGATCGGAATCTGTGCCCATTTTGCTTGATTTGATTTGTGCCACGGCACGATGGACAGCCTGTATAGTCTCTTTTACAATTTTGAAAACGACAGGACTGTTTCGTTGCTGTTCGTGATCGGTTGATTAGTAGATGCAGGGGACAACATCGGCATTTAGAATAAACTTACACATCGTTCCTTAGGCATTGCTTGATCAAACATAATGAGCAACTCGAGAGCGCGCTTCACTATTGGATATGCATTGGAAGAAGCGACACCACCTTCAACAGGACCAATCTTCAGAGAATCGGCTGCAACTGGGGCTCTTGATATTGACTTCGCAATCTCCGCTTCAAAGGAAGCATCCGTAAACGTCCACAAGTGCTCGGTCAAGAGTCTGGCAGCAAGCTCCTGGCAATGTCTGGTGAACTGTGATTCGTCTTCGTCGTAGTCTGAAAGGAGGTATTCATTTGTGATCCACCCCAGGATGTTGCAGATAGTTGTTAAGTCTGATGATTGCATGGCGGACTGGAGATTGGTTGCAATCGGCACAACATTTGTTGCGTTGACCATGATCCTTTGCTGAGACTTGAGCGTAACGAAAGCCGAGTTTGGGTCGGTACTATAATGTGGCTCAACGGCGAATATCTTGGCGAACAGCATTGCCTCGTTAAATGATCGCTCAAAGCACTGTTTTACAAAGTTTCTCGCAGCTGTCTCCATCGAGACTTCCTTCGACTCTTTTTTCAGCGTTTCAAGATCATGTTGAATGATGGGTCGTAGATCTCTGTCTCGAGCCGTAATGTAGGCTTGAAATAGATTGTTGGCCGTGTTCGAGTATATCCCAGAGTTCCCACCCGCGACAACGTTACCCATCCGGTCATACGCACTATGTACGACCTTTTGGATGTTTGGAATCAGGTTGTAGGAATCTAGCATCATCTCTTCGAAACGCCCATATGCAAGTGCATGTCGCGCAGATTCAGATTGCGTTGCAGCAATTTGCTTCGCTACTTCCGAGGAGACTCTATCCAGAAGTCCTGTAAATCCAACTTCCAACAAGTGCAATGCTTTTGTCAGCAGAGATTGATAGCGTGCAAGGTAAGACTCGGCATCTCGGTAGGTAGGCTGCACTCATTAGCATTCAAAGCCCGTAGATGTGACAAGAAATCAAAGAGTTCGAAGACACCAAAGACTCACATTCTTCTCCATGAATTCTATGCACGAATCCAGATTCTCGAGGATCTCACCAAACGCATCGTCGTCAACGAGACGGCTAGCTCCAGGGGCATTGACTCGTCTAGTAACATTATCGAGATACGCATAGTAGTGCAGGTCGGTTCCAACTTCTTCTCCAAGCTTCTCCAGCCGTCTTTGCTCGGCTAAGAGGCCCTCGCACTGGGCCTGGAATGATGTGGTTTGTTCCTCGACTGCACGGAACGATCCTGACAACGATGCCAGCAGCTCTAGAGCTCCATTCGTATCTTGTATCAGAGTATCGAGATGTCGTTCTGTCATTGCCAACTGATCCAAGTACAATCTGCGATTGTCCGATTAGCATTTGCCCCTAATGCCCCATACAGAGTGTTACACCCACAAGTATTCTTGTTGACTAGCCTGTAGTAGTTCATCCTGTATGGAATCAAACGAGGGAAACTCCGACACGTCATCGACATTTTTCGGATCTGGGAGAGCTAGAGCTTCCCAATTCTTGTTTCTTCTTGACCTGCCCCGCCTCCTGCTCTTGGAACTATCGTGAAGCACATGCTCGCGGACGATGTCGTAGAAATCAGAGTAGGACTTGGCTCTTCGGGAGAGCACAGCTTCGGGAGGGGTGTCGGGGTCCTCGACGTCTTCATAGAGGTTGTCTAACGGCTCTGCGGTGTCTGTGGGCTGGCTGATACCCTGCAACTGTGATCAGTCTCGATGTCAACCACCAAGTCTAAGGTGACGCGGCTGCTCACATTGGGCTGTTGGAGCAGCGATTCCTTGCGCCTATGCCCAATATTCTGAGAAGGGCCTCTCTTGTGGCCAAACTCTGGTACAAAATTGTACCATGCGTCTTCGTACATCCTGTGCTGTGATGCTTAGATGAGAGGTTGACTCTCAACCCTGCTTCGCCCACCGCGATGTGTCCTGAAAGACAGCCTTTTGGAGTTCTAATTCAGGTGGGTGTGCTGTGGGGCTCACTGTGGTGGGAGCTTGCATGCGGTAAGGAAGCTTGGACCACTTTCAACTGTATCAAAGTTGCTTACAGCCTACCTGCCTCCTTTTGCTAGTCTACCTATCTACCACGGCCCTGGAGGATGTACTCTACTGGGACGAGTCCCTATAAAGAGAGATATGGCTACTTTACTCCCATCACGCATATAAGTAAGTAATTAGGATCCGCTCCTAACGTGACTGCAATATGAGATGGCTAACCTATTAGATGCATTGACCGACAGCTCCTAAATCCCAAGGTTTGTGATAGCTGGAAATCAGGCGACGCACCATTGGACACTCAGTATTTCGCAAGGAATCAGGCTTCAGCACATAGGTAATTGGGCACGTGGCCTGGTACCTCTTCTCGTAAGGCAAATTTCCCGGTATCTGCTGCACAGCTTTGGCAGCCTCGCCTCCGAAGCTTATGGGAAACAGCAACTTCTAGGCAGACCAATATAGCCGCATCACAGCTTGTGCTGATATCTTTTCTAAGATTCTCTTGGTATATTTTGGTCCTAGAGACCAACTGAGACTGTGAAAAATGTGGCTTATTGACACTTCCACTACCGATTCCGCTTACAGCCTCGTGCTCTATAACAGTCCTGACCAGGCTGATTATTACATCCTTTCACATACGTGGGAAGATGACGAGGTGACTTTTGAAGATATGGCAAACTTAGAAAGAGCCAAGCAAAAGAAAGGATTTGCTAAGATAGAAGGTATATGTAGCCTGGCTCGCAAGAGGGGCATAGGCTGGGCATGGGTTGATACATGTTGTATTGACAAGAGCAGCAGTGCTGAGTTGACTGAGTCAATAAACTCGATGTATCAACTGTATAAGCAAGCTTTTATCTGTGTTGTTTTCTTACAAGATCTGCCACGAACTTCCGATATTGACGACATGAGGCACTGTAAGTGGTTCACCAGAGGATGGACATTGCAGGAAATGATTGCTTCCACAGTACTCTATATCTATGACATGAGCTGGAATTTCAGAGGCACCAAGATTACTCTTGAAAACCTAATTTCGGAAATCACCCGTGTTGATAGACAAGTACTGGCAGATTCTGAACGAGTCTACACAGTCCCCATTGCAAGAAGGATGTCATGGGCAGCAGAAAGGGTGACGACTAGAGTCGAAGATCGAGCCTATTGCCTTTTAGGTATTTTCGACGTCAATATGCCGCTCATCTACGGAGAAGGAGATAATGCATTTTTGCGACTTCAGGAGACCATTGCAAACAATACAGACGATCTCAGCCTTTTTGCCTGGTCGACTTCAGTTCCAGACAAGCATTTCAGGGGGGTGTTTGCCCACAATCCTGCGGAATTTCGAGGCTGCGAGGACCTAGTCAAGGAGTACAGTTCTGTTTTAGAGTACCCATTCTTCTCCATCTCTAACAAGGGCTTTCAGATTCACTCACCTTTGGGTTATACTGGAGCCGAAGAAGAGCTGGACAGTTTTCTCAACTTACATTGCACCTCGCCAGGTCATCCAAACTGCATCATTGCGATCCGCTTACTCAAGACACCTCGGGGTTTTGTTCGTCATCATACCGACCAGATTTTTCTTTCTGTGAAAGAGATCATGGCATACAGAGAAGCCGTAACAATCATCATTCCTCGAAAAGTTCTGTCAAGAGATTCGGACGTCATCAAACATCGCATGGGGCATTCTTTCGACTTTCGCTTCATGTTTGAAGCAGAGCCGACACTGGAGATAAACACCTTTCCACGTTGTCCTTTACACCTATGGGATGAATACAGCGAGCGATTTCTATCAGGCAACGATTATCACTTTATTGGCATCATGGATTTCGCTGTCGAGAGCTTGGATGGTAAAACTGCTTGGTTCACACTGTTGTGTGGTTTGGAGAAACCTCACCACCTGGATCAACTCGGTCCCTGGGCATCTTTTCCTTACCGAAGGAATGATGGTTTTACTAGACGTGTCTTCGGGGCCAAGGATGATTTGCCAACGCTTGAGAGGTTAGGGGCGATGATTAGGGACAACAGCTCGAAGCATGGCGATCTTCCGCTGAGTCCCTGGGTTGTCCAAGGAACCTCGATGGATACTAACAAGATAACCCTACCGCATCTAAGGGACAAGTATCAGCCTGGTTCAGGAGAAACTTCCGTGGAGGCAAAAGTGGCAGTTGACACAAGAGTGGGAAGCCACGGGCCAGAACATACTGTTGTTGTCATGTTAACCGTGCAGCATCAAAAGACACAGGCTCAGGAACCATCAAAGCTATAAATGGTATCGAATCCATTGAGAATGCAGATTCCTGCAACCAGAGCAACTGGAAGGTCGAGAGACTTGTCACCGCATCATAGCTCTTGCCCTTTTTGCATGGGCGATTCTGGGATCTTGATACCGTGAGGCAAAATAGATAATGGACCATCATCCCTGAATGTTGGTGTAGACAATAGTTGAAGCCATGCAATACAACCGGTGTGTTCAAGGTATCAGAGACTCAGGAGGGTTTTCAGGCTCCAGAAAATATATTCCACTTTCCGGAAATACTGCGTAATATGAGATTTAGGCCTCACTATTGAGGTGCTCACGTTTAAAGTCCCTTCTGTCTCAGATACGTTCAGTAGTTTAGCAGCATGTATTTAGAAGCCTTTTGCCTTGTATGCTAGCCGAAGGGCTTCAGTGCTAGCATTAATGTTGGGTGTGGGGTTGGTAGACTAGTAGTGCATGGACCACCCCTGGGCATTCTGGCTGAGGTAAAGGTTGGCAGCCATAGACAGGCTGTTTGGCGTGCTTGTAATTGAAGCTTTGCGATTTGCTGAGACTTTTACTGGTGATCTCACCACTTCGAAAGCTCGACTCAGAAGCCCTCTCCTTCGAGACAAAGATGCCGCGCAGCTCCGACGACAATTGAGGAGCTATTCTCTGACATATACGACAAATTCAATATAGCGAACATGTCGACGTTACTCTCACGCGCGGCTCTACGCCATGCGTCTCTGCAGACAGCGGCACGAAGCTCGAGTCGATCATCGCCTTCCTTAGTATCAGTGCGCTATGCCAGCTCAGGAGCGCCGCGACGGAGAGGGGGCAGGTTGATAGGCCTATTTGCCATCGGAGCCGTTTCTGCTGCTGCAGTCTATTCATATCCGCTGTTGGTCAACAATGAAACGAAGAAGCCCGAACCGATCATTCCGCAGGCCGAGATTGAGTTTGAGAAGAAGAGAAAGACTCCAGTGTCGAAGGAAGACAATCGGGGCCTAATCAGCTCACAACATATACAAGTCAAACAGAGCTGGGAGAACCCAGGCCTCTATGCATGGGGCTCCAACACGGGGAAGGTCGTAGCGCCGGAATCGAACGAGACTATCGTCAAAACACCACGGAGAATTCCTTACTTTGACGGGCAGATCCTTCGTGATGTCAAGCTTGACAGAGAGTTTGGCGCCGCGGTCACAGAGAATGGAGACCTGGTGCAATGGGGCACTGGCTTCTCTTCCACGACGCCTACACCAACGGTCACTCTGAAAGGGAAGGATATCACTAAGCTCGCTATTTCTCGGGACAGAATACTGGCCCTCTCATCTGGTGGCTCCGTCTATTCAATTCCTGTCTCTCAAAAAGACCAGGAAACAGGTGTCAAGGAAGATCAGAGCTCTTGGGTTCCCTTTTGGTCTGGTCCTGCGCCGATCAGCTACCGCACGATCAGCCCCAAGGGCCTCGGTATGGGCGAGAGGGTCATTGATGTCAGAAGTGGTTTGGAACACGCACTACTTTTGACATCCAAAGGGCGAGTATTTGCTGCAGCATCTAGCAGCCAAGACTTCCCTTCTAAAGGTCAATTGGGCATTCCAGGCTTGACATGGTCCACCCGCCCGAAAGGACCATATGATCAACCGTATGAGATCGATGCGCTCAAAGGCTTCAGGATTAAGATGATTGCTGCCGGCGATTACCATTCGCTTGCTCTCGATGATCAGGGCAGAGTCTTCTCTTTTGGAGACAACTCGACCGGCCAGCTAGGGTTCTCTACCCAAGTCGACACCCCGGCCATTGACACTCCGTCACTTCTACCTTTCACAAAGCTCTACCAGGGAACAAGTCTAGTTCCCAAGGTAACCTCAATAGCAGCCGGAGGAGCAAATTCATACTTCACGGTTGACGCTACCCAGGTTGCCAGCCAAGGCGTCTCTGACCAAGTAGCACCAGCTCGTGACCTAGGCAAGGTTGTGGCGGACACTTGGGCATGCGGTGAAGGCATATACGGTAGCCTCGGCACCGGCAAATGGACGCACATCTCGAGCGCCCCTACCAAGATTGCTTCTTTGTCCAACCTGTTCGAGTGGGACGAGAAGAACAACAAGGTCATCCCGATCCGTCTATCGCACCTTTCCGTTGGCAGCACCCACGCAGCCGCTGTTATGGACAACGTCACCAATCTCGCCGCTTCGTCAAAGACATCAGAGCACGATACGAACTGGGGCGCAGACATCGTCTGGTGGGGCGGAAACGAGCACTACCAGCTGGGGACAGGGAAGCGCAACAACGTCAACACACCAACCTACATTGGCCCGTTGGACGGAGGAGTCGCCGATGCGCAAAAGGGAAGAAGGGGGGAAGCCCATCGATTCCAGATCACTCCGCGAACCACTGTTCAGCTGAGAGAGTGTGGTAAGGGCCGCAAAGTCAGCATTGAACAACGAGTCGAATGTGGACGGTTCGTCACTGCAGTGTATTCTGGAGCATGAAGCAGACATGTGCTATATTAGGTCATTTGTACGATGAAAGGTTTGATTGTTGGTCAGATATATAGGCGTATTATCGCCAGCACCTGGAAGGCGGGCGTTACGCGGAATTGGAAAAACTGGACACTGGTCATGTATGATTACAACGGCACAATGGCAGCGCGGGTTAGTCAAGTGTCCATAACGAAACTCGACTCATCAAGACTAAAAACTGCCATGCATTGGTAGCAATTATAATAACACAAGACATCGTGTGTACTACTTCCACAAGGGCTGTTCATCCAGGCTTATAAATAGCCGTCGGGCAGGTGCTCAAATACGGCTAGGCAAATAAGCGGAAGTTGTCGAATAATGACCGGGTTTCCGACAGAAGAACGTGTGTGAGAGTAACCTTACCCGGATTGTGAGAGCGAGAAATAGGGGGCGGGATTTCAGGATGTGTATTGTACCTACATTACTTACATGCGCCGCTGGATGCTGTCGTTGGTTGCGTGCACCAGGCTTTCCGGCAGGTATGACCTCAAGCCGACAGCCCATTCGACACACTGGAAGGTGAAATCCAGCTTTGTCACATCGGGGCCGGTTGATTGGGCGGTTGGGGTCTTCCCATAGCTGCTTTCCGCGTGAATTAATGCAGGTTTCTGGCAGATTTAGTCGAGATGGTGTGAAGCCGACTGGTGGGTGTAGTGATCAGTTCTCCCCGTTCAGGTCATCCAGGATGGTCAGGGGGGCGCCTTCATGGGCTCCCGCAAGCCGAGATGGTGGGTATGTGAGCTGAAAGTGCAACTCTGGAGGATGAGGATAATACTGCGTAGTACGTAAGGTAAGTAAGGTCAAGTAAGGTAAGGTACATAGCAGAGCTGTAGGTACTCTGCACTCTACTCTGCGACCTGCAATGGGGCCCGGACCAGGGAGCCCACTTAGACCATCAACGCTAACGTCACACACCCTCCTTCTCCGTCCCGCTACCAAACTACCTACTACCGGTACTACTGCACTTATAGATGTACTTAGTAGGCCTGGCCCGTCCATTGTCTCACCACATCCAGAGACCAACCAACACCCAGACCAAGCTCCTCTCCTTTCAGCTTGTCGCAAATTCCAGTCTCGCCTCTACCACAACCACAACCACAGGACCGACACAAAGCAACGCTCACTCAGTCACTCACGGCATGAGCTGTGCATTCGAGACTCTACGACTCTACGACTCTACTGCCCCAGCTTAATCATGGTCAAGCCATTCGCCCCCACGGCCTCTCTCCCTGACCACTGCTAGTGTCAGCACACGTGCCCCTCGACAACCTTCCCTCCTGCTTTGAAATCGCCGGCTCTCTCGACGAGGGCTTCATTTCGCTCTGATCCTCACTCGCCTTGTTTGAGGCAGCCAGCCGTTCTTGTCAAGTGTCGCTGTCATCTCGCCCGTCTCTCTGCCGACTTGGCGCGCTCTCGACCCTCCCCTTGCGTGTCGCTGCTTGTACGACTGCCCTTTTATCTGTCACGACGTATCGCATTACGCTCGACCACATATCACAGGAGCCTGGCACACTTTCACAAGGCTTCACCGATGGATCGTCTGCGCTTCAGGCGCAGCAGCAGGAAGGAGTCTTCTGCCACGCCGCCTGCCTCCAGCGACGGCCGGAGTAGCGGCAAGACAACGCCCGAACCAGCGGTCCAGGGTCCTCCGCCTCTGCCCCAGGTCCCTTTCAAGAAGCCCTCGCCGTTCCGAGCGCTGCATTTCAGCCGATCTGCGAAGCGTGCGCGGTCACCGCCTCCCGCGTCCCTTCCTCACTCGCCAGGTGCCGCTCTTCACCCACATGATGCTTATGAGCGCCCCCCTAGCTCGCCCTTATCCCTTCGGAAGGAAACACAGACGCCGGTAGAGGAGCCGACTCACAAGGATGGCAAGGCGCCCAAGATCCCGTCGTTCTTGACGTTAACTTCACAGGGTAAGTTGCTTATGATCAACCTCCTAGCCCTCCAACTAACATGTTCGCTACAGAGATAGACTCGAAGTTCCAAGAGATAGTCTGGCTCGAGCGCAACCGCCTCATGCAGTCTATGCAGAACAACTCGCCAGACTTCAAGTGGGCGCGCGTCACGGGCTCGCATCTCAAGCAACTGGATCGATACATGAATGTACAACCGTGGCACAACAACCGTGTGAAGCTCAATGTTCCCCCTGGACGTATCGACTACATCAATGCATCCCCGATAGAGCTGAGGTCGCCGGAGGATGAGGAGTCCGATCGGTACATCGCAATGCAGGGACCGAAGCAGGTGTCGACCGACCACGTCTGGCGCATGGTGGTCGAGCAGCTGGAGAGTCCAGGCGTTATCGTGATGTTGACGGAGACGCATGAGGCGAACATCGAGAAGTGCTTCCCGTACTTCCCCCGAGACCCGGAGGAGCCACCACTCGAGGTAAACGAGCACGATGAGTTTGGCGACGGCTTCAGGGCCAGTGTACGATGCGAATGTCTCGAGGAGACGCCCGCTGGAGATGCGATCGAGTTGCGGAAGCTGGTCATCCGCGTCTATCGTCACAGCAGTCGCATAAATGGCACGAATGGTAACGGCGCAAACGGTCATGTGCGGCCCGACGAGAACGGTGATGTCACAATGCTATCGCCTGGCAAGGTCCAGGATGATGCAAAGAGTGTCGAGGACGAGGGTGTGGCTGATGTCGGTCATGAGGATGGCGAGTTTGAGGAGCGTATACTGTGGCACTTCCTCTACAAGAAGTGGCCCGATTTTGGCGTGCCGGCTCTCGAAGACCTCGAGAGCTTCTTCACCCTGATGCGCCTATCACGGGAGAAGAACGCCGGCCCGCACAACCCGCGGATCGTACACTGCAGCGCAGGTGTCGGTCGCAGCGGGACATTTATTGCGTTGGAGCACTTGATAAGAGAACTTGATGCCGGCCGGCTTGAGCATTACGACACCGCGCCCCCGACCCACGAGACTGAGGAAGGCTACGTGGCCGTGGAGCGAGAGGAGGAGCAGGAAGACATGATCTTCAACACGGTGAATCAACTCCGCGAACAAAGACGGAACATGGTCCAGGCTGAGGCGCAGTTTTTGTTCATCTACCAGGTGATGCGCAAGCTCTGGCAGGACAAGTACGGCGGCACCGAGGACGACGAGGACGAGCCCGCGGCTAAGAGGTTGGAGTTCGACCCATTTGTCGAGGAGTCACTCTTGAAGACCGTCCCAGGAACTGAGACTTGACAGAGTCATTTTCGAACATGAGACGAAGGACCCGCATAATAGTTGTACGATGAACACGACAGGGAAGGGCACAAAAGCGAAGCATATACCAGATACCACCGCACGTTTTTAGGCGTTGGACAATGAATAGCAGAGTAAGGATGGCAAATCAGAGCGAAAGCAACGCAAATTAGCATAGCATGTACAGAGGACAAAGGGGCGTATTGGCATGGACAAAAATCAAGGGGGATTTTCGTCGTGGTTATTGTTGTCGTTTGACCCGATAGAGAGCACAGCTCTGAGAGATGGAATCATCCCAGCCGATCACAACAACAGAAGCAGCCAGCGGAAACAGGACGCTCGCTCGCGATACCTGAACTAAGTTTTCCACAGCACCTTTCCTAGGCAGGTCAGGAGGGCGGCAGTTGCATCTTTGCGTTATGGTATCATTTCGGTGGAAGCGCAGCAGCTTTGTATCGCACATGATCGTGTTGTACAATATTGAATAACTTGTATAGCTACGTCTCCGAAGGCATCGGATATTTACCCTGATACCAATGGCATAATAATCTGACTGATGGGGTTCCCTTAAGACGTGATCTCTGGGCGCGTCCCTGACCGGACAGACTACCTCGTCAGCAAGGGTTATGCTAACCCACGAAGATATAAGCTTTGAGCTTCTATAGAATAGATCGGTGGACCCGAGTCAGCACTTTATCATCGATCTTGAACAACTCTCGACGTATTTCGTAAGCAACCAGATCAGTGACCAAAAGCAGTAGTTGACACAAGAGAAATATGGCTATAAGAAGTTAGCTTGTGCCGAGTGCCATATGTGAAAGCGACGTTCCGCCCTCGCGCTCCGGATATTGGCGGGGCATCGGTCCAGGTGCGTCTTTCGGAATACCGAGGGGAGCGGGAGGTGACCAATCCTCTAGGATCGCGGTACGGCTGAAGCTCATGCACATTGCTACATGGGCGGGGCATCGTCATAGGTCGTTCTCAGCGGCACGCTCAACCCAGTCCTTGTCAGCGAACTTAGCATCAAGGATGCGGCTACCACTCCTAAAAGCTGACAGACATAACTAGGTGGTTAAGCTCGATGCTGATATTTGAATAAGTGCGTATATAGCATGCGAGACTGCTCGGACAAAGCTCATTGACTGTGTAAGTTGACATCACTATAATCTTACAGCAGACCATTTGCTAACATACTTTAGGTTCGCAAGGCTACTCGAATTCTATCCTGGAACTGAAAGTCAAGCATCCCATTCACCATAATGGCATCCGAGGCTCCGAGGAAGATCCTCCTCAAGGGAGGCACGCTGCTGCTACACAACAAGGATGGACATGTATCTCCCGCGGTGTCCGACCTTCTCATCGAGGACTCCACGATAGTCAAGATCGAGGCAGACATTACGGCACCTTCATCAGACACGAAGATCATCGATTGCACCAACAAGATCGTCTCGCCGGGCTTCATCAGCACGCACGCCCATCTGTGGCAGACGGCGTGCAAGGGTGCTCACCCCAACCACAGCTTCGTCGAGTACATGTCTTCTGGGAATTATATCTCCTCGGTCTACACGCTTGAGGATGCGTTTTGGGGCGAGCTGGCCGGGGCACTGGAGAACATTGATGGCGGCACGACGACGGTCGTTGATCATAGTCACTTGAACCTTGGACCAGACTATCGTGCGTACCCCTTTTCTTACCTTGTGCCCCTTTCTAGCCTATATCTCTTGCCGAGGACTTCTAACATCAGAGCCATTCACTGACACACACATAGCCAAGACAGCAATCCAGGCTCTTGTGACAAGCGGTCTCCGAACCGTCTACTGCTACTGCCCGCCACGCAAAGTGGCGTCGTGGAAACCGTTCACCTTGAACGACACCCCAGTGCCAGATATCATGGACGAATTCAAGGCCCTGGCTGCCGCTGGCCCCTTCGGTGGCACCGGCGGCCGAGTGTACATGGGGTTCGGCATGGACAACATCTACATCGGCCCGCTGCTCAAGCCGCAGTTCGAGGCGCTGCGCGCCGCCCCCGCCGCCCAGCTCATAACGAGCCACACGACCGCGGGCCCGGCGTACAAAATACCTCACGGCATCGCCCTCCTGGACGCACAGGGCCTGCTGGGCGGCGACGTGCTGATCAGCCACTCGCCGTACCTGACGGACGCGGAGATCGGGCGGCTTGGCGAGACGGGCGCGTTCGTCAGCTCGACGCCCAACACCGAGCTCCAGATGGGCTTCGAGCCGGTGGCGCTGCGCGATGGCGTCAGGGAGCGCGCCAGCATCGGCGTCGACTGCCACACGTGGGGCACGAGCTACCTCCCGACGCAGATGACGCTGCTGCTGCAGGCGCGCCGCCTGATGGCGTCGAACGACCTCGTCCGCGAGGGCAGGTGGAGCCGGCATACGGCGGCGACGGCCGAGGATGTCTTCAACCTAGGGACCATTGGCGGCGCGAGGGCGGCGGGGCTGGCGGACCAGATCGGCCAGCTCAAGGTCGGCTTCAAGGCTGACATCGCCGTGTTCGATGCCAGCAGCCCCGGCATGCTGGCCGCTGCCACGGAAGATCCTGTGGCGGCTGTGGTGCTGCACTCGAGCATCCGGGACGTGGAGACGGTGATTGTGGACGGTGTGCTACGCAAAGAAGGCGGCAAACTGCTAGAGATGCAAGTGCCGGAGGTGGATGATGTGCTGAAGAGTGAGGTTGTGCCAACGGGCAAGATCCTCTCGTGGAGTGACATTGCGGCTGAGATTCTAAAGAGCCGTGAGAGTATCAGGGGTAAGCTGAAAGGGATCGATTTCCGTCATGTGGAAGACACTATGATCAATATGTTCTATATAGACAAGCAGGCTTTGGTTGATTGAGGAAGCCAATTCAACAAGTGATCAAGAGTTAATGAGCGCTTTTGAGTCATACTATCTGCACAACCTCTTACTTTGGATAAGCTGCTTGGAGATCCTATTCAAGGGAATAATAGCATCACAACTTATATATCTGTACAACAGAAGACGTCTCTCATTATTGACTTTACTTAAAATCAAGGGTAGAAGAGCTGAAAAGAGAAGCTAGGTCACAATCCGAGGCTTTCCAACTAAATGGCAAATGTAAACTGTCACCAAGGCGCCAGTCACTTCGAAGTTATCAACAGTGTTTGCTGCCATCATATGTCTAACAAGCCTAGACATTTTGCAGAATGAGCACACCAACGTCATCGTGACTTCACGATGTCTAAGGCTTCTCAGTTCCCTAGATCCGGGGCACTGTTCAGGTGCTGAGTAGGAACTCGACTAGACAAGTGATAAAGCGTCCGCAAGATATCTAGCGGGACAGGGGTCAACCGGACCGTCGAAGGAAAGGCCCGAAGTGGCAGATAATGCGCCGGGTGCTCCCAGTTTCACCATGCAAGCAGGGTTGGCAGCACCGATAAAGTGTTTTTTCTAGTATCACAGCCTTCTAGAAGGAAAAGGCCGTGAACCGCCATTTTGCGGGGCAAGACAACTACACTTCCGTGCGTTGCTCCCCCAGTTGGAGAACATGTGGAGAAGGAGGGCGGGCGAGACGAGCTGTTGCGGTCCTGTTGATAAGGACAATCGGACCGCAGCGGCTAATCTCAAGAATAGCCCGCTGTGACACCAACTTTAAGCCGCCCGTTGTACTGCTTGGGTGGTAAAGAACGGGCGGGTCGACGTCACTGCTGCCGAGAAGTGTCTCCTGGGCTTGAGATTCCTTCCATGTGTCACAGCGTGTCACTCAACCTGTTTGCGGCGTCGTAGAATATTGGCAGGTTGGAGCATTGTAACCTCCCAGAACGCTGTCAGCCGTCAAGCCAGCGTTCCGGGCCGTTGGCCAGCGGCAGCCTGCCCATGGTTACAACAGGTGCGGGTTCGTTCAGAACTGTCGTGGTACTCGTTCTCCATATTCGGTTGGAGCTAGGGTAGGAGCTGCAACGGTCCGACCATTCAATAGCTTGCAGCACAGACCACGAGAGGGTGAAGGGTTGAAGCCGATATATCACCGCCATCGAACGCATCTGGTTGCATGTGAGAAGTAGAAGAGGAGCGTGGTAATTTCCTGTCGGCCTGTTTGATAGGCCTCTGGAGCATTTCCTCTTTGGTGTTTTCCGAATCATGGGTTAACCTCAGAAGGGCAACCGGTGAATGGCACCCCTGTATTCGACTTCGGTGCATTGAACGTTAGCACATGGCAAACACGCGGGCTAAAAAGCATGGTGTCCCGAGCTATAGAGAGCACGGACGCTGGAGAGGAGATGTACATGAAGATGCGGGAGGATGGAGGATGCAAAGTCTCGTCAGAACCACATGTCATGTACACTCGGCTATGCACAGACGTTGAGCTCAAGAAAGTGTGGTGGCAGCCACGGTCAACGACATCCCGAAGGCAATGGAGGATGTGGACAATTCTTTAAAGGGGATGGGCGATGAACGAGATGGGCGGCAGGTCGGATCATCATTATCTAGCTCAGCCATTTGACGGGAAAAGTTGGAGAAAGTTCCGATGGGCGGGAGCTAATAGGTACTGCAAGGTATTGAAGCTCGCTTGTTGGTGTGATTACCCGTGCCATCAAGACAATCTTCAGGTTTTGCGTCGAGTGCGAGTGTGCGAGTGTGTCGAACCGCCACTTGGTTCGAAGGAATCGAGAGGCACATAAGCGCATCTGCGGAAGAACATCGCTCAATTCCCGTTGGCTCTCACCATTGCCCATCCGGCAAGCGCTGTGCGCAAAGCACAGCAGGCACAGCTCAATGACGGAATCGGTGTGATGCCCGGGCCGAAATTGGAGCGCAACGCAGGTCCTACGGCAGTTGATCTGGCGTCCTATTCGAGAATCCTTGACAGTTGTGAGGGCGCTTCAGCTAGCATTGTCAACGCACTCGGGAGATATCCGTGCGAGCGTTCAAGGTCTGAAGCGGATAATCGCGCCCATGCACGCATCAATGCAGAGACAATCTCGTAGATGGGCATGCACTTTTCCGCCGAAGCCATAGTGAGTTACGTGGCCGGCCCGTGAAGATGGTGTAGTGGCGCATGTGAAGTGAAAGGGCTACTTGTGGTGGTCGGTAGAATGCTATGTAGGTAGGTATAGGTATTGGATGGAGATCATCCCCGGACTCAAGATTGGCTGATTATCAGGCTGGGCGTACCCCAGATGCCCCGGGTATCTGGAGACGGCCACCCTCCACATTTTCCGCAGCGTTACCGCGATTATCCCGAAATAACATGGCGGTTTCGGGATAAATATGGCCAGCATTGAATGTTGCCCTGGGAGTCACATTCGGACCCGGGACTGTTCAGACAAAGGTATGAATTGCAGTTTCGAGATGTCGAGAAATATTTTAAGGAGGATATAACGTTAATGTATAAAGCGTAAATACAGTTGCCTTCGACCGGAGAGGACCCGGCTTGCCCCAGTCCTCATCGTGTAATTCATGTAAGTGACTACGAGTGAACGAATAGTAGAGCGCAACCAAGACGACGCCTCAGACGGGTCCACGCCTTAGCTGATGATAGTAGCCGGTCGATCACGGAAAGGGCTGTCGTCCGAACTCCTGTTCCTGTACTTACCCTGGAATTTCAATAGGTGGTCTCATTTCAGGAATTGAGAGACGGACAGTGCCTTAGTTCGACAAGGGAAATAAAAACGAGTCATTTGAAAGCACACCTAGTCTAGTCTGGGGGCGGTAAAGGCATGTTGGCCAAGTTGAACCCTTAACAGGCTACTGTTAGCTTCACGATGAGACAGCCAGCGGGGACATATAAACCCAACCGTATTTCCGCTGGGACGGAAAAGGTCGAAGACAGAAACTTGCTTCACCGACAACAAGAAGCAATCATGCTCAGCTCCCCTTGGCTGTGTTCGAAATAGCAAGCCCTCTTCTGTTGATTATCCTGCTCTTCAGACACACGGAAAAAGGTGAAGAGAGGCTTTAATCATCCTCCACCCCCTGGCTCAACACGCACATACATAGTACACTCTCTGTCATTCATCGCAGCCCGGCGGCCCCACCGGGGAATCCACTCGGTCGAGGAGCCCCGCCCACCCGCCGTTGTGGCTTTGGTGCGGTTCCTGACTGTCCCGACAAATCTGGCATCACATATCGAACCCACCCGAGACACCCCCCTCCCCCCTGTCCTACTGCATAGTATTCTCTTGGTGAGAGCCCGGCCAGCATCCGGTCTTCTGGAATCCTTCCATTTTCCTCTCATCTTCTTAAGACCCCGTCATTCCTCCCCGGCCCGTCGAGGAGAGAGGCCTGGGGAAGGGAGGAATTTTAGATTCTTATATTTATCAAATAAACACCGACTGGCGACCTACCTTGGTAGATACCCATCCTGGCTAGCAGCAATACCCGGAGTCTACAGCCTACAGAACACCTTCTCAAACCTCCATATACTCACGGCTTGTTAGGTCCGCCAGGAATTCTGGGGCCCAGACCCGAATATAGCTTCAACTCACAGCACTAAGTCCCGCGCCCAACGCGACTAATTAGTCAACCAAACCACAACGCTACGGCACTGCTTATTCACGTCGCCCACCTGCTCCTATTCTACCCAATTATCTACTGCAAACCTACCTCCCGTACTCCAGGGCTGCATAGTGCATAGCACCTGTAGGCCATACCTAATAGGTGGGGGGGTTTTTCTGGTGTTCTCCTTTTTTTGCTCTCATTCTAGTGTACGAGGTGGACCACATACCCAAGACGACCCGCAGGAGCTGGCGCACACGAGCTACGAGCTAGAACTAAGTGAAGCTTACCTTAGGGAGAGAAGCCGGCTGGTCCCCGAAGAGCCGACCAAACACGCGCCGTCTAATTCGGAGAAGTTGACTGGGAAGAAAGTAAAAAAAGAAGAAAGCGGGCTCCTCGTTCCCACTCTCCAGCTTCGGCGCCTTCCTTCCTTTCTCTCCTACCCGACCTTCCTACTTCCCTCTCCTCGACGGGCAAGTTGCTCTTGCTCTTGCTCTTGCTCTTGCCGCTGCTTTTTTGAGGTGCGTGCAGTGGCTCAAAGAGGGAGGTACGGTTTCGGTTCGTACGAGGAAATTGCGAGTCGCAGACGGTAGCCCGGCTCAATCATTACCCAGTTTCCCAAACTCCAAGTCGACGGACGCCCAGGTAATCTGGGGACTTTTTTGGTCTGCTACCTTAGCTCTACGTTTTCATGCCGGCATCGAACGGACGTCTTCTCCGAACAGGAAGGACGTCGACAGCTCCCCCGTTTCATGTCCCGGCTCGCGCTACCTTATCAACTTAATCCATAATACAGTATCCAATACCTAATACGAGCCCGGCCGAGATAAGTCGGGCGACATACGCATATCAACCTTGGAGCCCCGTATCTATCTGTCTATCTACGCCCAAGCGCGTGCGTTAGGTATCTGGGCGGGCGGCGACCACCGCGATAAGATTGAGATAGCCAGCTGAGCCCACCGTGCACACCTGGAAGATCAGGGATAAGGGATAAGAGATCCGGATAGGGGATTGCGGATAGGCGTCATGACGTCGATTGTGAGTCTTTGTCCTCCCATGTCCTCCCATGTCCATGCATCTCCAACCCGCTGTCTTGGGTGCCGTTGCCTGTACAATGTACGATACTGTACTGCAGCAAGTTGCGCGGGCGGATTGTATGTACGTGTATGTACAACGTGCAGCACGCCCGCTTCTCCGGCAATTTCCCTCTCGATCAATCATCTTACACTATTGCTTGCTTCTGCCTCTCGCGATCTTCGCCCCTCCATCCCTCCTCACCGCCTACACCGCCTCACCGTGGCCCGCGACCTGCACTTCGCGACGTTCCTAATGACGCCGCGGCCTACGGTCCGGCCCCCCCACGTCCTGCACGACGTGCTGTCCAGCAGCCCTAGGCCTAGGCCACATTGGCATTGGGCGACGGGACAGCCATGTCGCTGACAAGGCCTCGCCTCACCCTCCTTTCTTATTCTCCCGAACCTACCTATCCCGGCCCTGTTTTATAATATGCAATTCTCGTGTACCCTTCGCCCCAGGGCCAGCTCACTCATATCCCCATGGTACCTACCTACATAATGTCGTTGCCTAGCTGTCCCTCCCTCCTGTTCCATGTCCTGCCTTGACCGCACCATGTCTTCTCGCTCTCTCTTCGACAGTTATCTCTTTATGTGGTGACGGTGTTATGGGGGAGTTCACCAACATGTTGCTGACCTCAGGCCTTCAGCTGTGCCTCGCGCACTACTGTGACGTCCATGGCCCCACGCCGTTGATGGTTACCGAGGGGCTGCCAGTACCTTGCAGCATGTGCTACGACCATGGCCTGCCGAACTTCAACGCGGCTAATGACCGGCCGCATACCAGCTCTCAGGTATCAGGGGGCGTCTCGTCGAATGCGAGTGCCGCCATAGAGAAGGCACTTCGGACGCTCAATCTAGGTGTTGCTCGCAGCTCCTCTGTACCAGCATCCGAAGTAGATGCTCAAACTCAGCGAGCAGCCTTTCTTCGCGTTTCCCAGAATACAGCTTCACCCGGCTCTGCGGTCGAAACTCCGCCTGTCAGCCCTCGTTACGCCCCCGAGCAGCTGCAGCGACCCTCAGATCTGTCACGACGCGAATCAAATTACCGGAGAACTTATGACGAGCATACAACCAAGCGGGCAGGCCCTTGCGAGAACTGTGCTTTGACCCTTCCACGACGGCAGGAAACAAGCAGTAGCCGGGGAGCTGGTGCTGAATCCACTCCTACACTACGAACTCGCGCGCCGTATGCTAAGGTCTACGGGGGTGGGATACCAGGTGATGCCTCGCCTCCAACATCGACAGACACGGATACAGATGGCGACGAGCAGCCACGGAGACCTTTGCACCGCCGTACTGGGACCATCACATCGACAACATCTAGGTCCAGTAGTTCAAGCTCGCAGCTTAGCACACATACACACTACCTCGATTACACGTCAACGCACGAGCCTGTTATTCCTTCCTCTTTCTCTATTGTTCGGGCATCGTGTCTTCGAACACTCTCCTTCGAGACACTGCCTCGCCATGCTACTACACCTGGGACTACCTCACCGGCTTCTACGCCGATAATGTCTCCTCAGAATTCGCCCTTTGTCACAACCCACAGCGCCGGGGCTGCTGCGTCCGGGGGGCCAATCTTCTTCGGAGACCCGGTAGCAGGGTACACCACAGCCTATATCTTCCGCATTCCGGACGTCCACGCGCGCGGCCACAAAAGAGTCTATGCATTTCTGGCTCTGAGTACTCATCGGGAGCGTCTTGCTATGAAGGCCTTTACTTTCATATCTAATGCGTTCCGAGATATGGCCACGTGGATTCAGACCTTAGCCGAGGCAGAAGCCGAGAGAGCTCTCGGCGACGCTAGCGCAACCAGCAGTCCCATCACAGCAAACCCAGGCAGTGGTTACGGCGGACTGGGTCTCACGCAGCCGCAGTCTCAGCCCACCGAAAGCTCGGGCGGGAGTAGCTTTCTGACTGGTGGTGTCGGCGGTCTATCACGTCGACTGGGTGGTGGCTACGGTGGTGGAGGTGTCTCCTTGAAGGCTCGGGGACTGGCAGAGCTTGTTGGGCTCCCAGACTTCTTCATAGAGCTGCACTCACGCTTTGTTCGATTGCTTCTCGAACTTGGTGTCGTCTTAAGCTCATAGGATGAGGCAACTCACAAGGACACGCCAAATAAGCACTAGTTCTTCTACGTGATGAGAATGACTGGGAAAACGGCTGCTCACTCGTCCAATCATATTTATACACACACGACTTACGACATGCATCTATTGCGACATAGTTTTTGAGGATTTTGTTCCTCGGTAGAGTTGACCAGTGGCGTTGAGACTGGTAAGGGTAATGCTAATGAGGAGTTGATGAACGCACTTACCCATTCGAAAGTAGGGGAGTCGAGATCTTCACCGGAGGGGAGAGAGTGGATTGATGGAGGCTATGCTGTTCTTGTTGATGATCTTATGCACGGGGGATATACCCAATACCCAATCTAGACTGGGACTGCTTGGTACAGCAGAAAGAGATGGGAAAGATAAGAAGGAAGAAAGGAACCAGCGACCAGTCGCATGTACCAACGCTATCTGTGCTTTGCGATTTGTCAAGTGTTTGGAGTTGGGCATGGATTAAGTACGGATGGTCATATTAAAGCATCTGCTGGGAATAGAGGAGACCTCGGGATACATAGAAAAACCTGCGGCTTCGTTGATAAAGGCAAACGGTGCCACAGAGTTGTGGGGATGGACGGCTTGTCTCTTCCCGTGGTTGATAGACAATAAAGATAGACTACAGGAGACAATTTCATGGGAGGGCATAGATAAAGGTAGCTCCAAAGTAGGAGACGCCATATTTCAAAAGACTGGTCATAGAATTACAGCTTTGACGGTTCCTTTTCGCCCGTGCTACCTTGCCTATCTTGATCTTGATGCTGATTAGTGTACAAGCTGGTCAAAAGGACCCCCGTTTCTTCGCATGCTATCTTCTCTCTATGGTCGGCCGAAGGCCACTGCATTGGCCATCGACTACCGTAACCCAACTCCGCCGTGAACCTCCCAAGGTTGCAAAGAAGCAGTGTTCGCTTATTTGTAGAAGTCGAACTTGTTCTCGTCGGTCGTGCCCTTCACCTGGCTAGAGTAAGCATCCTCCAGATCAACCTGGATGATGTTATATCTGTTCTTGCGCACGGCACGCAGACCGGCCTCTTGCATGATGGCCGCGATGACGGCGCCAGACAGGGGGTCGTTGCGCACGATCAGGCTGTCGAGGTCGACCTCGGGCGCCAGGCTCATCTTGCTGGCGATGGTGGAGAAGATGAGCCGCCTCTCGCGGCGGTCGCGCAGGCTGGGGAACTCGATTTTGCGGTCGAGACGGCCGGGACGCAGCAGCGCGGGGTCGAGCGTGTCGGCGCGGTTGGTGGCCATGATGACCTTGACGTTGGCGGTCTGGTCGAAGCCGTCCATCTGGTTGAGCAGCTCGAGTAGGATACGCTGTACCTCACGGTCGGCGCCGGTCTGAGCGTCGAAACGCTTGGTGGCAATGGCGTCGATCTCGTCGATGAAGATGATGGCTGGTGCATTCTCGCGAGCCATTCTGAAGACGTCACGCACCATTCGCGGGCCCTCACCCAGGTACTTCTGCACGAACTCGGAGCCGACCACGCGGATGAAGTTGGCAGTCGTGCTGTTCGCTACTGCCTTCACGAGCATGGTCTTGCCGGTACCGGGGGGTCCGTAGAGAAGTACACCACGGGGAGGGTCGATACCGATCTGCTTGTATAGATCGAAATGTGTGAGAGGTAGTTCGACAGCTTCGCGAATCTCCTGCTTCTGCATATCCAGGCCACCGACATCAGCATATGTCACGTCTGGCTTCTCATCCGCACCAAGCATAGCAATAGATGAGTCAGCCTCGGGCGGCAGGATATCGACGAGGGCATTTGAGTGTCGGTGCAGAGCAACTGATGACGAGGGCTTGAGCTTCTCGCGGTCGAGGGTAGAGAGGATTCGGACGACGTAGTTAGAGCCGGTACTCGATTGGACGATGCCGGTGCTGGTGTTCTGGTTAGCCATGTAAATCTTGACACGCCGTAATCACAGCGGACATCATAAACATACTTCTGGTCGATAGCCTCCATGAATTGACCGATGACCAAAGGCACACTCTGGATCCTCTTGATCTCCTCCTGAGCCCGGACGAGCTCTCGCTTCAGGCTTCTTTGCTCATCCTTGATGTATTCTTCTTGTAGCTGTATGTACTCGAGCTGCCGTTGCAGCTTCTTTAGGCTGGCATAGTCGTCGCCTGCCTCTGCCGATACGCCCTCGAAGTTTTCGATGCTCGGTATTGTTGAGGGAGCTGTCTTCTTGTGAGGAGGGACGTGGTTGGCTGGGTTTTCCACGAGGATGTCACCCATGGTTGCGGCGGGAGAGGAATCTGCCGGTGTGAATGATGTGAGGGTAGCAGAAGCCTGATGTGAGTTGTTCTTGGTGGGACAGGAGGTCGGATGAGCGCTTGGTGGAGGATGGGGAGGTTGATGTTATGAGTTTGATGAAACTGGTCGATGGAGTTCTGGCTGGCTCCCAAGGCACGACAGGTCAACGCAACGCCAGCCAGCCTTCCTTTGGACATGGTGAGGTAAGCTCCATAGCTGAGGTGCATGGCCCGTGCGCTACCCTTCCTTCCCTCCGGATCGGATTAAGTAGAATGCGACGCAAAGGAAGGACCCACCCCGAAAGAGTATCCCGAGGGTGGAGCTTGGCGTCATTGGACAAGCTACTGCATCACCTTGGGCCCACATCGGATGGATGGATAGGATTGGCTGAGGATTGCGTCTGAGGCGAGGCGGGATGCTTCAGGTGCTTGTGAAAACCAGCATCTTCAGTCAGGATTCCCCATCCGATGCTGTCCGAGTGGCCTGTAAAACGACCTATCACACTCCCCGTTATGTTGCCCGTGTTGAGAGAGACCTCCTGCCACATTGCTCTGCAAGCCCAGCAGGCACCATGTAAGGACCCCTACTCCGTACCTAGGTAGGCTACCTACTCCACTCTTGCTGGCATTGGCGATGATGTGAGGAGACGTGCTCGCTGGCCGGCCGCTGTTAAGCATGAGGCTGCTCTTCAGGCATCTGGACTATCTGTTTGTCCTGCCTACCCGCAACTTCCCCTCCACTACCCTCCATTACAGTTGATAGTATATACATACATACTGTAGGTACTTGGCCGCTTGCCTGGCCAGTCTAGAGCTACTGTGGGCTGCTTGCTTGGTTGTATTTAGCTACCGTCCCCACTAACATCTAGACGTCGTGTGAGCAACTCCCGCTAGTTAGCGTCAAGCCGCCGGTTGACTGGTGACACTAACACGCCCAGCAGCCAAAGAGTCATCTTCGTCCTTTCTTATCCGACTCATCCTCGTTCCTAAACTTAGACCTGATTTCGGCCTCCTCTTCAATCATACAATACAAAACCTCAATCTGCGCTCCAGCACCGCTTCGGCTGCACACAGTCTCCTAACTCTCTCCTCGATCCTCCTCTGCTGTGTCCCGCCTGCTGTTGCTACTGTTCGTCTCTTGTTCTCCGTGACTTCACTTCCCTAACTGCTACTTGTCGGTGTTCTGGACTGAACGGAGGGTTTAATGCTTCGTTTCCTCTCCTTCTTTCCGTCTGTTCGGCGACAACACCATTTCCCGCCTTCAGCTGAAGTTGCAACACGTTTAATGTTATAAACTCCTCCTCTTCTCACAAGCAATGTCTTCCTCGATTGCTATCCCCGCCGGCCCCTCAGTCCTGGCTTATGAAGACCGCCGCTCTTCTAAGGCCCCCGCCAGCTCCTCCTCGTCCACCTACTCCAGCTCGCCCAGGACGCCGTCTTCGTCTCTCAACTCCACACCCAACTCTGCACAGAAGCAGAAGATGACCCATGAGCGACGACCGAGCCTCCTGAGTAAGTTATATGCCACATTCCTGTTATCTGCTGCACCTGCACTCCAACTCCTCTCTGGGTTTGGAGCCTTACCGCTCCCAAACTCTTGATGTGAAGTGTCGAGCAACGACTAACATTCTAACTCGCAGGCACGGCAATTTCCAAGCAGGAGTGCACTCTCATCAACATTGCGGACCCGGATGGCCCCCCTCGCCTGGTAAGTGTCACACCGACTTACTCATTGCCTAAGGGGTATGACTGATTCCCACTCTCCTAGATCGGCTATCTTTCCTCTAGCCAGGGCTTCGTGTGGAATCCAGGTGAGACTCTCATCATCCCATGTTTCTCAAGGCACACCGCCTATGCTCATGGTCGGCTGCTGACAACCTCTATAGAGATCTTCCTGCCGTCCTACATCGATTGCGATTACGTCCCTCTGGAGAACCGACGAGAGCCGGTGCATGACATCGTGCTCAGCGACGAGGAGGTCAAGAACATGCTCCCGCAATAAATTGCCTCGTGTACTACAACACTGTCGGGGTTATCGTTCTGGTCATGCTTCGCAACGCTATTAGACCCATCATTCTCGCGAGAACACATTTTCATCCACGGCGTCTGGCACTTGACTTCTTTTTTTCGTTTTGTGGTGTATCTCGGATGGCCAGATTGACGGTTTTACGCTTGTTACAAGGTTCTGGGAGCCTGCGAAGACTCTCAGGCTGTTCTTCTTTGCGAGGAGCGGATTGACGGAGTACATATTTATGATATCACTGGGTCTCTTTACTGCTACACGGATGGGGGTTCAATGGTGTCTCACGAGGGCTTATCCTTATATCCATCATCTGCGTTCCGTTTCTACATTTGAACTTGGATTTCTGGCGTCCGTTTGGCATTGGTGGGGAATAGGTTGTCACAGCTCATATCAACGTTTACTCTCTTGACTTTTGTCTGGTGTCATGCTCTTGTCTTTTCCATTCAATACGCTCGACAGTGATGTCTTATCAACTCCCTGGTCATTTCATGAGGTTTATGCCCGGACCTGCAACTACTCTCGAGACACGTAAGGCAGAAATCTACGTGTTCGCTGTGTCTGAGCCCATCAATTCCCGCATCTGTCCAACACATGCCATCTGCAACCAGTACCCAATACCCAATATGCATGAAGGGGGCAGCAGCAGCCATATATGCAACCTTAGCCCACGTGCACAGCAGAGCAGGCGAATTACCAGCGCTTCTGCAGAGCAAGCATGCAACAGCCAGGATCTCTAAAGCTCCCACGTGTGGCATGCGCTACGGGACGATAGATGGCCTAGCCAGGTCACCAAGAGCCTTTGAATTCCCAATCTCATAACAATGTGCAGGTCTTGTAATTATGAACTTTGCATATCGGCAGGTCTCAGGACGGCTAATCCGCCACCTGTGGTAGACAATCTTACAGCCTGGCTAGGTGCTCAGGGCAGTGAACCGACAAAGTGAATGAACCCCGCCCACTTACACACTGGCTCACTCTCCCGTCATTGACGTGACTCGAGGGTCCGAAGGTCGGCTCTTATCAGGAGAGAGGAAGCTAAGCGCACGGACCATACCACCAGCGATAAGATACTGATGGCGGGGCCCCAAATTGGACAGGCCGTCCGGGTACCGCTTTAAGTAAACAGACAGGACCCGAAAACTGAAGAGACGATTGAAATCAAAATCTACGGAAAACATACCACAACAACTGCACCGCTAAGGCTTGAACTTCATTCGACTTTTCTAAAAACTTGAAATTATGGACTCGGGCTCGATCCATCGCCCGATCGAGCTGCAGTCCCCAGAGGACTTCACCTACCTGATCAACAACGTGCGACGCGCCGCGGCCGATAGCATCAACGCCGCGTTCCCGCCGGTCGAGGGCCACGAGGACCAGGAGGACGAGCTGCGCGTGCGGATAGAGCAGCTGGTGTACAGCGTGCGTTTTGCCCTTTCCTCAGTCAAAGCCTGAAATAGACCAGGATTATACTGACAGTTGTGGACACCGTGCAGTACATCAAGCAGACATTCACCCTCGCAGCCCCGAACCTCACAATCAACGGCCTCCCCGTCAGCCCAGATACGTTCCTCTCGGGCATTGGCTCCGCTGATGACGGTGACTCCCGCGGTCCCGAGGAGCAGTACGAGCCGTTCGACGGCCGCAGGCGGCAGCGCGTCGAGGAGCTCGCGCGCGAGGAGGAGGACCTGCTGCGCGAGATCGCGGCGCTGAAGCGCAAGGTGCCCGCGGCCGCGGCCGCGCAGTACGCAGAGCAGTTGCGGACGTCGGTCAAGGCGGACGAGGAAGCGCTAGAGGCGGCGCGAGCGAAGGTGCTGGAGGGCAGGAAGGCCGGCGACAAGAAGATGCTGGACGTGGGCGGGCTGGAGAGGCAAGACGCGGTGGAGGAGGCGTACGAGGGAGCGGTCAAGGCGCTGGGGCGGCTCAAGAGGGAGATGCCTGCCACGGTGGCCAAGATGGAGAGGGCAAGAGTGGCGGGAGAGTATGTTGTTACAGAGAGGTGATGCATATCTCGGCTTCATTGCCAAGACCTACGTTACGAGTGTACTGTATGATGAAAGGGAGCCACAGGTTATACGGGCGTTTTGGAGTCTTTGAGATAGGACGGGATGGAACAGAACGGCATGGCACAAAAGGATGATGGCACTGGGAGGCTTATTGATACCACGACATGCCACATAGCATAATCTAAAACATTCAATTCGTGAGTCTGTTCATAATAGACGCACAATACGGGGGAATTGTTGCCGAAGAAGCCACCTAATTACAGGATCTCTGCACTGCATCACCCCATCAACGTGAAGAGCGAACGGTCTTTGACTGTTGAAAGTTGCTGCACCGCTGTATATGCCACCTCCACAGTTCTGTTCTTTTCCATCTTTCTACGCCGTATGCCGAGTCTGACTGATCAACCAAAAAACAACAACGAGCCTCGGCCTAAGAGCCTCTATGCGGTAGCAGTTGCCTTGTCCTCAGCCACGGCCGTCTCAGCGGCTCCCTCAGCTGTTGCTTGGGTCTCCTTGCCGTCAGCCTCTTTAACCACCGAGCCGGTGTTCTCAATGGTCTCCTCCGCCTTGGGCGCTTCAGCCTTCTTCTCCCACTTCGCAGGCTTAGCCCACTCGGCCTCCTTCCACGGGCCCATGTCGCTCAGCTCACAGCCGCCTGCGCACTGGCAGCTACCACCAAACTGCTTCGGGAGGTTCTCAGCGGGCACCTGCTCCAGCAGGTCCTTCTGGTAGCTCGAGCCCAGGATGTGGATCTTCTGCACGGTGACGGGATCAATCCAGCCCTTGACAACGCTCCAGACGGCGGCAAAGCCCCACGGCGCGTTTATGATATAAAGGCGACCGAGACGCTCCGGGTAGTAGTTCTGGGATAGGTTGGAGGCCTGTCTGATGTAGCCGTACACTTGTCCAGCCTTGGATAGACCGACGCCCTTGAGGTCCATGATGGTGCAGCACGTCTCGAGCAGGTGGCCGTGCTTGCGACTGGTGGCAGGCAGTCTAGGGTCAGCCACACGCTCGTACTCGACGGCTAGGTTCGTCAGCATTCGCTCTGCGGTTGTGATCTTGTACATGGCGGTCAGATCGATGCCGCCCAGCTGCTCGATGTACACGGGTCGGCCATCCTGTCAGGTAGCATATATCAGCGATCCAGGCTCATCAAGCCGAAATGGGATGAAATCTCCGTACCTTGTCGGTCTTGTGGTAGTATTGCGGGTAGTATTTGAAGAGCTCGGCCTTCTCGGGGTAGTCCCATGTGGGCAGCACCTCGTCGAGCTTGGTATCTTTCCGCCACTTCTCACAGTCGATGAACCTTCAAATAGTCAGCACGCAATCCCAGACACACCTCGTATGTTCAAAACTTCTCACATCTTCTCGGACAGGTTGACATCAAACTTCCGCGCTCGTAGGAATCGCAGCTGAGACCACATATTAGCGACTGTTTCTGACAAAGGGGCACGCGGAGACTCCATACCAGAGTCAGGGTATCCAGCCGGTCCTTATAGCCCTTTGACTCGAGCAGCATTCTCAGCTGGTGAACCTGAGCCTGCTGTTGGGGCGTCAAGTGGCCGGGATGGCCAGAGGCAGCCACAGGAGCAATGATGGGGTAGTCGTAGTCATCATACTTGGGATCAAGCTCCATGCCGCCTGCAGCGGGGTTCTCTGTAGCCATGACGATGCAGATTTGGGGGTGTTGATGTAGGTAAGCCGGCGGTCAAGATCCTAATTTATGAAAAGGCAAGGAGAAAAAAAAACAAGTCTCGATAGTTGCAGTGGCTATCTGAGGCTAAGCTTATGGAGGGAGGTGTTGGGCAGAATACCCTGGGCTTGTCTCCTAGGGGAATCTATGGTGGAGCACAACACGCGCGGACGATATTAATTGAAGATAGTCGAGGGCTTGCTTCTGGGTTAGGTCCAAATTTTCGTCATAGGCGAGGCGACCGCCCAGCTTGCCCTTGCCTGGCTGCTGCTGGCTGTTGCCGCCTCGACGAATAGCGCTGTTCAACCCCACATCCCTCCCTCAACGCCCCTGACGCATATCCGCTTACGTAACCCCTGCCAGCCTTGGTATAGGAAGAGAGGGCATGCCTCAGCATCCAGAATAATGCATCTCAGAGGCGCAGGAGGTGCTCTCGGTATTCTCTAAATTGATATGACATACGATATCAGAACCGTTTTACAAGGAAAAAGCTGTGACAACTGTATTGCGGACTAAGGTATTCGGACACCGAGCACGAGAGCAGTTCAGCCTTATACGATTCCATGTTCAGGGGAGGTGCAATTGTCTTCATCATCTTTGTTTTGCCGCGGCGTTTTGTCACTGCTTATTGTGAGGTGAAGGATGCCTCAGACACCGGCATAGGCTTGATAGGCCTCGAAGACCGATAGGTGTCGCCTGTAGTTGCTCGATGTACAACCACCAGCTTCCTGATAGACATTCTTTTTGGCGTATATTAATCCCTTTCCTGAAATACTGGATTCTGATCTTTCATCAGCCGCCCGACGGATCATCTTCCTCTTTGTCTTCGCCTTTGCCCTTCTCGTCTTGCGACTGATCTTTCCGTTTCTGTACAATGTCCCAGTTGTAAACTCTTGCAACAGCAACCTCCATCGTCTGGAAGTCTAAAGTTAGCAAACCATGAAGTTGCACTATGAGTGAAGTAACCTACTGTGATTTGTTCCCTGAGAAAGTCTAGATCCTCCTCGCAATTCGATAGTGATTGTTTCGCGGCACTTAACCTCCCATGGAGCAAGGTCTCTGCTTCTTCGATCGGATATGAAAGCATCACATTCGCCTGTAGCTCAAATCAGCATCTCGAACGCCGTTTTCTTCACATGATTGTACACACCCCGAGCCACAGATAAACCTCGTCGGTCGGAGGGATCTCAGCCTTTGCGAAAAGGGTATCATTGAGCTCGAATGTCGTCTCGATAGGGTCGGACTCGTCCTGTCATTACTTTGAGCCCTGTGCTTGAGCCATGTCATCCCAGGATTCATCCATCGCCTACCGTTCTCGTTTTCAGAAACCGGACTGTGTCCAGCGTCTTCTGGATATCAGGCATCTTGTCCTTCAAGCCGGCAACCCTCCGCTGTAGATTCGCTTCCATGAACTGGTACTTCCTATCGGAGAGGATATTTTCTTAGCATCGTGTCCATGCGCAAGGATACCTCATCCAGTCTTGCAGCCGATCGAGCAACTGAGTGGAGCCGGAAACTCACGAGATCATCTCCTGGAAGCTGCGCAGCGTGGGCTCGACATCCGCCCTCGACGAGACATAGTCCTCGACCTTGTCGACGAACGGTGCGAACGGAATGCCGCGTGGGTTCGTGGGCGCATCCTTGCTGCTGCTGCTCCTGTTCAACACACACTCGAGGTCAGTTCATTGTGCTCCCTCTTGCCCCGGAGCATGGACGCCGCCTAAGCCAGCTCTAGGCCTGCTGCTCTGTGATGCTCTGCGGGCCTCTCTCTAGAACAGGATCAGGAACGCTTGCTCACTCGGATGCGACTTCTTTTCCTTTGCTGGCCATGGTCGTCAAGGCTCTCACATTGACCCGGTCGGAGGGCTCTTGGAAGTATGTCGCCAAGTCAGTATTGGAAGTGCAAAGTGACGGCACGGAAATTTTGGGCACAGCTACGCTTTGTTAGTTGTCGAGCTTCCTGCAGGGGTGGGGCAGCTAAGGTGGGGTTGGCAGTGATAGGGGAAGGTACCTATGGGCAGGCGCATGGAGGGCAAGTCAAGCCTTTTATCAATTTAACTACCTACTTTATATCGCATATCCATTTCACATCATCGATGGCAAAGCCAACAGCTCTTTGCATGTCACATTTATTCACACAAGCAGAAAATAAAGTCCTCGAAGATTTCCTTTACGCTACAAGGCTCATATGATATGAACTAATGGGATATCAAGAATCTCGCAACCGCCTGCTACTGGGGTAACTTTGGTGAAATGCCCTTCCCACGCTTGAAAGATCATGGCTTCTCTACTTTTCCAATTCTGTAGAGAATCGTCGCCGTTCGAAACGCCTGCTCCATAACAAATAGTTTTCTTCCCCGAAAGTCTCGTCAGATCAGTGAGCCCCCTTTCGTCAAGAAATCATCCGAAATCAATCAATGCATCCTCCTCCTGGCTAGTTGCAATATAGACACTACCCACGTCACCGGCGGTAGCGAGAGAGCTGCCGGCCCTTACAGCCTCGACACTCTTGCCACTTGCTGGGGCGCTGGCGCTGGCGCTGGTAGCCACACTCATGGACTTTTGCCTGCGCTGCTTGTTGGCATTCCGCGTTCTTGGGGACACGGAGCTGCCGACGGAGGCTTCGTAGCCATTGTCGTCCTCAGCATCGTCTTCCTCGTCGTTCGAGCTGAGATCGGCTCCTTCCGGATAGGTGTTGACGTTAGACTTGTTGCGGTTGACCCGCTTGTGGACAGACAGCGGCGAGTCGTACATCTCGTCATCGTCAGCCTCTCCAGCAGACTCTGGACTGCTCTCATCCTCTGACTCAGAGCTGGTGCTAAAAGGAGGATAGAACATAGAGGGCTGCGGGAGGGGCATGGGCTTCAGAGGTCGGATCTTGGCTGATACAAAATCATACTTCACAACGGGTGTTACTGGTCGAGAAGGCCCAGTGGGTTGTGGTGACGCCGTGGACATGGTCGCCAATCTGTTGATGATGGCTTCCGTTGTGTCGTAGTCATCAGAGTCAAACCTGATGTTCCGAGGATGCCGTGTGATGGCGAGGACTGCAAAGTGGTCTTCAGGCATCACACCGCCCAGGCCACAGGGTTCGAGCAAAGGCTGAAGGGTCTTCGCATGGACCTTTCCGGGTTCATCGCACCACGGAAAATCGAAATCCAACTCAATGGCGCTATCTGTGTCATCCATAGTCAGATCCGGCTGTGAATCTGGAGATGACGAGGCATTTTCAGCAACGGCGGATAATCCATCAACAAACGGCCGGAATGACAAAGAAGACCCGGACCAAGTCCTACCAGAACTTGGCCGAGCGTCATCGAGAAGTCCAGATGATTCCAATTCAGTTGACTGTTCCTGGCCCGTCGAGATCATATATGTGGTTGGAGAAACATCACCGGTATCGCCCGACAAGTCTGTACAGAATGGCGCCCCGCTGTAGTACACAATGGTGCCGTCGACTCTACGCCGCTTCCGACCGGAAGAGGCCGTGCCACTGAGACTCCACCGCGAATTGTTAGTAGGCTTACTGTCGTCCGCTGAGATGGGCGATTCTGATTCATCTAGCGATGTTTCCATTGAAGAATGTTGATGAGCAAAAAGTGGCTTGTAATGAAAATCTCCAGATGAATTCTGCGACTGCAGTCCCAACTTCGACTGGTTCTCCGACAGCTCGTCGAGTTTGCGTCTCTTTCTCTGGCCATTTTCGTTCGATGCCTCGGACTCATCCGTGACTGGGCTATGCTTGGAATTGTCACCGCTGCTTTCACCGCTGAACTTGGTACCTTCTGTACCACCTCTCCAACGGAGTTTTTGTCCGTCTGGCGACAATTGAAACCTTGTGCTTTTCTCAGTCACGGCTTGGCGGATGAAAGCCGGTGTCACATTCATCATGTGCAGCTGTGCCATGTTGCAAAGCAAGTTGAGATACATCCATCCATCAGCGTCCATGGACACATCCTGGGATCGGAATGCTCTCGCTGCCGTCGACCCTTCACTCAAGCCACCGACATGCCTCATGTAATCAAGATTATCGGCAGGTATCTGAGCCCGGTCGGGATCTAAATCGAGAACCCGTGTCGGTCGCTGGTCGGGTGGAAGATCGGTGGGTGAGGAATTGTTATTTCCACTTCGTCCGCCACTGCCGCTGCCACTCCCACTGCCTTCGCCAATACCGATGTCCCGCGAATCCGTCTGCTCGCCGTTGGAATCGTTGGTTGAGCGATCCCGGGTCCGGTTTTTCCTCGTTAGCTCAGGTGGCTGCATCTGGGCTTCTCTTGCTGCTTCCAGAACGGGAGGCAATATTGTGTCACTCATCTGCCGGTCCAAACCGGGTACCAATTGAGTAGTCGCCAGTTTGCCTGTGAATAGCTGTTCCAGACGCTTAACCACCCACTTCTTCTTCTCCCTCTCCGTCATGGCTGGGCGTTGCGGATACATGCCTTCTGGGATGCCCTTCAAGTATGCATCGACTTTCTGGTCAGATGATCGAGATCGTTCTGCCGAAGGCCTAGTGAATGTTCCGGGTGTCGAGTGCGGTGCGGCGGAGCTAGGTCCTGTCGATGCAGACGCATACGCCGAATCAGCCGGCCGAGAATTTGAGGTTGATGAAGATGGATGCTTCGAATTAGAAGTGTTTGAGCCACGTCCAGCACTTCCGTGTTTAGATGTCCGTTTGCGAGATGGAGAAGCGTCAGTTGAGCCATCACCAAGGCTGGCGGCGAAGTCTCGCAAGGTTGCCTCTAATTCTCTCCTTTTGCGGCGCGGCAGACCGTGCATCTTGATTTCGAACAGCTTCTCCTTGTTCATCATATCCGAGCCGAACTGTTTGAATCGTTTCAACTCCTCCTTTAGTCTCTTGTTCTCTACGGTCAAATCGTCAATGACACTACGAAAGTCATCAGCACGGCTGCTTGGGGTTGCTGCCGGCCTCGGACCCAGCGTATGTGATGCTACGCCATGAGGAGCAAATGGATAGAGTGGTTTTGGGAGAGCAACTTGCGGCTCCTCGTTAGACGAATCACTTTCCTTCTGAAAGAAGGGTGGGTCAACTAAATCGTTGTTAGATTTCGTTTTGAGTAATACATGTTGAAGATTTGAAAGCTCACCATCCATAGGAGTACCACTAAAACGCGTTCCGGGATTCTTATTCGATCGATCGAACCACTTCATGGCATCAGTGTCGTGGCTCTCGTCCGAAGAGTTTCGTTGCGGAGACTTTGTGACGGGACTGATTTGAGCACCTGGGGACAGCCGCGCCGATGCTCCTCTGTGCAAACCGTGATTTTGCAAAGTCAACGACTTCTCCGGGGTGGACCTTCGTGGCATAGGATGCCCGCGGCCAGGTGGTGACTTGTTGCGGTCGGCCATGTTGCCGATAGATGACTCTCTATGAGTAGAACTTCCCTTTCAAAAAATAGCATGTCCGAAACATGCCCACTCGGATACGACACTTCTTCTCTTCGCGTACGGGGCGAAGGGCGAGGGAGAGGATGAGGACGGGTATGACAGCGAAGAGCGCAGAAGGCGTTCTATGAGCAAACTTGGAGTTATCGTATCCAAGAGTGATTCTCGAACTGAAGAGATACTGGACAATCGGAACGTGATCGTATCGGAATCGCGGGACGTTTGGCACAGGGTGAAATGGCCAGAAGATTATGAGGCGATTTCGAGTATGAGGAACCTGCTACTAAACAGTAAGACAAGGTTTTTCCAACATCGACAGCTTTCCAAACAGGGTTGACGATCGAGAAACATTCGAGGAGGTCACGGGCGAGCAGCGCGGTAGTTTAAAGGGGTTGGTCGTGCGAGGACGGCGTGGAGTGGACTCCGGAATCCCCTCGACGATATGCAAACCCCCCAGGCAAACCGCGCGGCGGTAAGGCACTGGGAGCGTTAAAAGACAAGGCGGTCTGCATGACTTACATTGAGCAGCGACGAGTGCAAGACGATGATGCTCGGTATGAATGGATCGTTGTATGCGTGTCCGAATTGCTAGTTCGTACGTATCTGTGACAATGTGGTTGGGAGCCAGAATCGGTCAAAGATTGCTTCCAGCAGCAGTGGCAGGCTATGGGGGGCTATGTATCGCGAAGGTGTGTGTCTGAAAACAACACGGCTAGGCACTACAGGGACCGGAGAGGGCTGATGAACTTGAACATCATAATGATCGGTATCGACAGGATCAAAGAAGGGTCCAGCCAATTCAGGCGACTCGTGCGCCTGGAATCGAGATCCAGGAGCTGGACTCCTCGCTGGAGAAAAAGGCCGTCTGCCCCAGTGGTGGAAGGACTTTGGCAGTGGTTGCGAGGAGAGCGTCGAGATCGTAGCCGCCGCCCCGATCGAAGTGATCTTTGCCAGAGCGGCGCAATCGGCTAGTGGCAACCCAGGGGGGCCCAGTTAGCGGCGTCCTTTGGTCCCTTGGTCGCGCACACACGTCCCGTCTGGGCGTATGCTTGTCGGTCTTCACAGTCCTACGGGTCACAGCACAGCGAGACGAAATCTGAGCTGGCTGATGTGTCGTGTTGGTCAGAGTGTCAGACCACGATGCAAATGAGACGAGATGGGAGTATCGTCTTCTTGTTTGTTTTCATGCAGTCCTGTAAAGTTGGCTGGTACCAACATCGAGGCGCAAACACGCACGCCCTAATACGATAAGGGTTATGGCTTCTCCCGTCTACAATATGTGATATCCACTTCACACACACTTACTATGCAGGTAGGTACCTGGGCTAGAGAGCACTGGATAGGCCAGTAGGTGGCAAAAGGGGGTGTGAGCAGCGGGCTGTCTGGGGTGTGTCCAGCAATATGGCCGCATTCTCACGTCATAACCCCATCGGGAAGCCATCGAGCAAGGTCCTTCAGGACCCAAGCCGTTAGTCTCGGTCGCCGGGCTGTCAAAAACCCAGTGGCAGCTGGGGGATTCCCACTGAAGCCACCCAATAATGGCGCCCCTCTTCATCGAAGATTGAACCCTGTGGAGTGGAGAGCAAGAGGAGGGGAGGGCCTGGACTCCCCTTGCGGACACGCCACTCCTGGTAACACGCTGCCGCACACCAGGATCCGACGATCGTCAATTTGTGTAGGAATCGCTTTCCACCCACCACACCTGCTCTATCTTCTACTATGCAGTACAGTGTCTTGAGTGCTCTTTCCCTCGAGGACAATGCGCCATGCACTCCCTTATGCGGGCCTGGCACGACAAAGCCCACCTGAAAGGTGCCCCCCGGCCCCCCGGCCCCTTCTTGCTGCATACCTAATAAGATACAGCGTACCACCTAACCTCCCCTCGGTGAGAGATCGCTATGCCATGCTATATAATTGGCGTGCGTCGAATAGGAGCTGACTATCGACCACATATGCCCATGCATTCTCCCGGGGCTGGATCGTGAAACTGGTCCGCATCGAGTTCGGGTGGCCAAAACTGTCCACTCCCGTATCATATATCATCTCTCACAGCATTCGGCACCTCAGTTTCTGGCCAGACTGCTCCTCTCCGCGACACCATCCCTAGGGGCCTTTCGGGAGGGTCTGCCAGCAGGGTGTGGCTCTGAAATTGGCCGCTGGCATTCGACATGCCTCCAAGACTTGATGCCTTACAATTGGCTCAGACTCCATGCAGGAGAGCCCCGTAGAATCACGCACACATTTGGTGTGTATCTCGACAAACATGTGTCTTTGCTGTGTTCTGCAGGTTCCTGGTGAGCCCCCACAATGCCACTTGTTTCTGGTGCCTGTCTCCAGGTGAAAAATACACTACTCGCCTTCCACGGGGCCCAGTGGGCATTCCAGGCAGGTGGGCTCGCGGTGGCTGTACAAGAAACTTGATTTTCAGTACTGTTACCCGATTGAGTGCTCGCCCAGCTGCTGTCTTTTGCCCTGAGCGACCCCTATGACACAAACTGCTGCGGATCGCACCGCTTGTCTGACCATGCAATATCAAAATCACTGTTCTCTGCTATGCAGTATATTTTCTGCGTGCTTCCTGTGGGGAAGACTCTGTCACTCCTTCCCGGCATCGCGATGAGGGAGGGGCTGAACCATCACGCTGGTGGAGTAATCATTAGATGGTATTGTCAGATGACATCACATCGCTTTGGTACCAGAGACGAAGATGCTTGTTATGCTGGTTGATTTTGATGGTTCTCGAGGACCAAGATCGAAAGAATAGTCGTGTGTTGCAATATAAGACG